TGCTTCTGTAAATCTCAGGAAACAAATACTGCAACTCAGATGGGCATGGTATAAATTTCATAGCTAGAGATAGATATACAGTGGTACCTCGGGTTACAGACGCTTCAGGTTACAGACGCTTCAGGTTACAGACTCTGCTAACCCAGAAATAGTACCTCAAGTTAAGAACTTTGCTTCAGGATGAGAACAAAAATTGTGTGACAGCGGGAGGCCCCATTAGCTAAAGTGGTACCTCAGGTTAAGAACGGACCTCCAGAACGAATTAAGTTCTTAACCCGAGGTACCACTGTACGCCTCCTGCCTGCCAAATATTGACACTGTAGAAATGGTTTGGTTTTCTTAAACTGTGGGAGGCTCTGGAAAACAACTTCCTTGCCGGTGTACCATCTTCTTTAAAAGGTTTCTGGGCTTACCTATTTTACATTATCTAATGATTTCACTCCTTTTTTCTGCTTCAGGCACTTCTCAAAACTTTGTGCTCTTCAGTTCATAGGCAAATTATCTGCTGCGGTTTTGAAGCATGGATTAGAAGAGGTGGGGGGAAATCCCATAATTAGCTGCAGGTTTGACATTAATTTCTTTTAAGAGCGGGAGATGTGAAGCATTTATTGTCTTAAAACTGGCACTTCCCTGCGATGTGAATCACATCTCATTTAACTATTAGCGGTTGCTGCTTAGTGAGGTGTGTAAACCTCTCTTTCAAATGCCCTGGTTGCTTCTGCTCCAGAGAAAACAGCCTCAGGTCAGCAGGTTAGCTCATTAGGATATTAATTCTCTCCTTCTCACTTCCTTTTCTCTGTCGCTTTTCACCTGGAGTACAAAAAGAGGTTGAATTTGCACCTAGGTAGTGGAGCCATCGCTCATCACATTTTTTTATATCTTTGCCACTGAATTTCACCTGGTGTTTAAAGCTTGCAGATTTAGGGTGCTTTCCTTTTAGAATGAAGTTGTTGGGAAGAGGAAAATCTCTCTCCGAAATAAAGAAAAATAAAAAGGGAGGGGGGAATCCTGAATAGATGTTCAAAAGCCAAGGGTGCAGCACGGGAGTTTGTGATTTTATTCATAATTCCCAAGTTTGACTGGAGTGTCTAAAACGTCAACAGGAAATTCAATACAGTGGCATGCAAACAGTTTCCTGGAAGATCCTTACGGAGAATAAATTTATATTGACAACCGCATTGCAGGCTTGCCATCCCCTGAGCATTCTTTCTAGGAACACCGTGTTCTGTATGTGTGTACATTAATGTTCTATTTGATATTAGAATGCCAGCAGATAGGGCAAATGGTTCTCGTTGTTAATGCAGAAAAGACACGAGGGCAATTTTCTGAGGACCGTCCTCTCCGTCAGTTCATTGCTCCCTGAGCTTTACTAATTTAGACTTTTCAAAACCTAGGTAAAGGTAAAGGGACCGCTGACCATTAGGTCCAGTCGTGACCGACTCTGGGGTTGCGGCGCTCATCTCACTTTATCGGCCGAGGGAGCCAGCGTACAGCTTCCGGGTCATGTGGCCAGCATGACTAAGCCGCTTCTGGCGAACCAGAGCAGCGCACGGAAACGCCGTTTACCTTCCCGCCGGAGCGGTACCTATTCATCTACTTGCACTTTCGAACTGCTAGGTTGGCAGGAGCAGGGACCGAGCAACAGGAGCTCACCCCGTCGCAGGGATTCGAACCCCCGACCTTCTGATCAGCAAGTCCTAGGCTCTGTGGTTTAACCCACAGCCAAACCTAAGCACCCATTAAAATGTAGCGTCAGTTGGTGAAAACCCGCTGCAAAGTCAAGTTTGGGTTCCTTTTGCTCCGCCCCCCCCAAGGCCGTTTCTTGTTTTAGCAAAGCACCTGAAAGTTTTGCTGCTATTGGTTTGTATCCTGGCTTCATTTAGAAGCAGGTGATGCTGACCAGTGCAATTGGCGTCAGGGACTTGGAATCTGAAGCCTTGCGGCATGAAGTCTCGCAGGTGCTAGCACGGTTCAGCTTGCATTTTGATGGATTTTCTTTTAATCGTTTAGCCACCTTGAGCAATATGCTGGGTAGAAGGCCGGATAGAAACCAGCAGCGGTGAGCCCCTCACCTGCAAGCCTGTAAGCCATGGCCTCCTGGCGTCATATATAACGGGACAGGTAAAGTCACAGCCCCCAGTTGCAACCCCTGTGCTATTCTTGGTCTGGTTTGATTTCAAGCTGCCCAGGCAAAGGAGAGCAGGGTTTGGAGAACTCTGCAAAACTCTGAGCCTTTGCCCATGTGGTTTGAAATCAAGCCACACAGGCAAAGGAAGATGCTTCTTCAGCTATCCTGGTGGCATAAGATATCTGACAGGTATGCACCAGGTGCAATATAAAACTATATATCATTTAAACCAAAAATGCAACCTTAAATGGTGTAAAAGCAAATAAAACAGATTCAGGGGGTTCATACACCTAAAACAGGGCCCAATCTTGTGGGTCAGGGAAAGGCAGAAAGGTAAGTCTTCACAAGGTGTCTGAAGCAGCTACTGGTTGCAGCTTCACCTGTGGCCGAGGTAAGGGCATGGAAGAGGTGCATCAGTGACGTCATGCACATGTGACGGCCTCTCTCCCCCCCCCCCCAGTGTTGGGAGGAACTTGGCACATCTGATTAGGTGCATCTCTCTCCCTCTCTCTCTCTCTCTTATCTAATTTTCCTTGCCTAGGGAGCAGCCAGCCTTTCTACTTTGAGATGTGACAAGGAGAAATTGCCAGGGAATGCAAATTGTATGCTTCAGACCTTAACTGAATTGTACAGCTATACCTAAGAGATCATAACAACGATGGAACTTTTTGTTGTTACTGTTTATAATCACAGCATGAGTTTTCCAGGCATAATCGAGATTACTTGTTGGGGCTGTTCTTCCTCTATTTAAAACTCGTCGCTGAGGGAAGCCATTTCCTTTCAGACTGTTTGGACTGCCGCTCTCTTGCATATTAGAGATCCAGTGTGGCATAGTGGTTAGTTGTGTTGGACTAGAATCTGGGAGACCCGAGTTCGAATCCCCTTGGGCCAGCCACTGCATCTCAAGCTAATCTATCTCACAGATTTGTTGTAGGGATTAAATGAGACGGGGAGGATAATTGTGTACAGTGCCTTCAGCTCCTTGGAGTAAAGGTGGAATATAAATGTGAGTTAGAAAATTTAAAAACTGGAGCTGATTAGCTGTTCTCGACTAGTGCCATATGACTGACATTGCATCCAGGTTTAAAAACTTGGCTTCCAAAACATTCAATCAGGCCTGTGATAATTATGCATGGAGATGATAAGAATGGATGGTGCTGGAATAGACTGAGGTTTGTCTGGTCCAGTGTCATGTTTCCAACCATGACCAGCCAGATGTCTCTGGAACCAGGGCACAGTATTGAAGGTCAAGAGTTACAATACGTATCTGTCACCATAAATGAGTCTGCTTGAAACAGATAAATGAATGAAAGCAATATTGGAAACTATATTGAAAGCCTGACATTGAAAAACGTACGTGTCGGGTCCAAAGGCAGCCTTCTGCATTAGGGATGGACTGATGCAGAATACCTCTTTCACTATAGGACGTTGTGACCCTTCGCACTAGAGCACTGCGTGAGAAAAGTGAAAAAGCTAAATCCAGAGATAATGACAAAAACTCGTAGAACGGAGACAGATGCTACGCCTTGCCGTCCTATTATGACACTAAATGAACTCTTGCACAAGCTCTTCTGGAAGTGCTTATGGAATATCATTAGTGTCTTCCCACTCCTCTGTCCTCTGGATCCAACCCAAAATAAAGATGTAGTGCAAACCGGACCCATTGTTGTTAGGTAGTTCTCCTTGACTTTCTTGTGTACATGACCTGCAGAGAAGATTAGCAAGGCTCCTGTGCAAGGACAGCATGAAAATGCAATAAGCTTTCCATTTTCCTTGGGTCTTCTTTTGTGCCAGAAGTGTTAAGCAGTATATACATTTTCTAAATAATATAAAATAAATATTTTATCTGCCTAGTGGTGTGCACTGCTAATTGGTGACAAAAGGAATGCTCAGGGACATAGGATGACACTGGACTACTGACTAAACATCCTTTTTTTTACTTTGGGCAAGCTAGTTTACACCAAGGGAGTAAAAATTTAGGTTAGGACTGAAGATTCCTCTGTTAATTTGCCTTGAAATCACAATAGCTTCTTCCACAGCCACTTGTTGATGGAAATGAATTAGTAGTAAGCAGTTGGTGCTTCCTGGGTATTTAAGGTTTTTGGTGTTTTTTTTAAGAAGGTCTATGTTTGTGACCATGGTCATCGGCAGAACTTGCTGCAAACCATGGTTTTGCCAATCGTGAGACAAACTCAGAAATCAGTGATCCCTCTCCCTCCCACGTCTCTCCCAGTGCAAGCTCCCCCTTTGTTTGCCTGAGAATGGTTTTCCAATGTGTTAACCAAGGTGAAAACTAACCAGAATTCAAAACCAGGGCTTGAAGTGGGTTTGCAAATCCAATTAAGAAGAAAACTGCTTAGCATCACCATCATAGCTGATGCTGGCCTTTAACCATGGTTTACTATAACAAGGTAAACAAAGGGTTGATTTGCAACTGGGGGGCAGGGTGCTGTAAGCCTGACTTGCAAAATTTGCAGGAAGTCAGTTTTACATCTGCAACAGACCCACTGGGTATCTGACTTTCTACAACCTCTTTTTTCAATCCCCATTGTAAGTGTGCTTTGCAGTAGTTTCATATTGATTGTGAAACATTTTTGGCCATTGAGCTGCATTATGTTTGAGCCCAACCCTTTTACAACCAATTTAATGCTGTGAATCCAGATATTTTCCGAGAAACATTAGTACTCGGCTACTGCATGAATTTATGCTCCTGCTGTTGATAATCAGGAGTGCAGAACGTCAAAGCAGTGTATGTCTGGACAGTCCATGCAAAGTTCACAGCTGTGTGTAAAGAGCACATTGAGTTAATGAAACACTCTGAAGCAGTAAATAGTAACTAACTTGGTCTTCTCTCTCCCCTTGTGTTTTTCAGATTTATTCCAATCTATAGGGGACCAAGTCACACCTACAAGGTACAACGGCTGATGGAGTTCACCTGCTTCGCTTTCAGAATACAGGCCGTAAACGAAGCCGGGGAAGGACCTTTCTCAGACGTATTTACCTTCAGCACAACCAAATCCATTCCCCCCGCCATCAAAGGTAAATAAGACACACCTCCTGGTTTGGGCTGTGCAGCTGTGGAAGTAAACCAACCACCTGAAGCTTTCAGTTATTATTAATACCCTATACAGTACTTGTAGCAAACACTGTGATTTCATTTGTCCTCGATACAGTGGTGCCCCGCAAGACGAAATTAATTCGTTCCGCAATTTTTGTCGTCTAGCGAATTTTTCGTCTTGCGAAGCACGGTTTCCCATAGGAATGCATTGAAAATCAATTAATGCGTTCCTAGGGAAACCGCTTGCCAGGCTGGCGGTGCGGAGAAGGGCTTTTCTCCCCACCGCAAGCCTTCAGCACAGGTACGGGAACAGAGGGGAAGGCGCGCAGCGCTTTCCCTCTGTTCCCGGGGCTTGCGTGGGAGGAGGGTTTTTCCTCCCCACCGCCAACATTCAGAACAGCATTCTGAATGTTGGCGGTGGGAAGGAAAACCCTTCTCCCACCCCAAGTCTTCAGGACAGCCATCCGAAGGCTGGCGCGGGGAGAAGGTCTCTCCGCCCCCCCCCCCACGCCAGGCTTCGGTGCATCCTTCAGAGGCTGCTGCCATAGTCACGCGTCACTTCTCCAGCTGGGAGAGGGTCGCGGGGCTATGGTTTCTTTAGCCCCGCGCGCGCTCTCCCGGCTGGAGAGGTGACGGGCGCCTATGGAGGTTCCTGCCATATGCGCGCGTCACAACTCCAGCTGGGAGAGGGTCGCGGGGGGCTGGTTTAGCCCCGCGCGCGCTCTCCTGGCTGGAGAGGTGACGGGCGCCTATGGAGGCTCCTGCCATAGGCGCGCCTCACTTCTCCAGCTGGGAGAGGGTCGCGGGGGGCTGGTTTAGCCCCGCGCGCGCTCTCCCGGCTGGAGAGGTGACGGGCGCCTATGGAGGCTCCTGCCATAGGCGTGCGTCACTTCTCCAGCTGGGAGAGGGTCGCGGGGGGCTGGTTTAGCCCCGCGCGCGCTCTCCTGGCTGGAGAGGTGACGGGCGCCTATGGAGGTTCCTATGGAGCTGTTCCTGGAACAGCTTTCCGAAGTGGGGCGGCTGGGGCAGGTGACCCCGCCCCCCCGCCCCACTTCGGAACAGCTGCAAAAGACGTCAGGGGGAAGCGGGGAAGCGAAGCGCTTCGCTTCCCGCTTCCCCCGGACCTCTTCTGAAGCAAGGGGCTGCAGGGAGATCGCTATCTCCCCCCATCCCCTTGCTTCAGAAGAGGTCCGGGGGAAGCGGGGAAGCGAAGCGCTTCGCTTCCCCGCTTCCCCCGACGTCTTTTGCAGCAAGGGGCTGCAGGGAGATCGCTATCTCCCCCCAGCCCCTTGCTTCAGAAGAGGTCCGGGGGAAGCGGGGAAGCGAAGCGCTTCGCTTCCCCGCTTCCCCCGACGTCTTTTGCAGCAAGGGGCTGCAGGGAGATCGCTATCTCCCCCCATCCCCTTGCTTCAGAAGAGGTCCGGGGGAAGCGGGGAAGCGAAGCGCTTCGCTTCCCCGCTTCCCCCGACGTCTTTTGCAGCAAGGGGCTGCAGGGAGATCGCTATCTCCCCCCAGCCCCTTGCTTCAGAAGAGGTCCGGGGGAAGCGGGGAAGCGAAGCGCTTCGCTTCCCCGCTTCCCCCGACGTCTTTTGCAGCAAGGGGCTGCAGGGAGATCGCTATCTCCCCCCATCCCCTTGCTTCAGAAGAGGTCCGGGGGAAGCGGGGAAGCGTAGCGCTTCGCTTCCCCGCTTCCCCCGGACGTGTTTTGCAGCAAGGGGCTGCAGGGAGATCGCTATCTCCCCGCAGCCCCTTGCTTCAAAAGAGAAGACCCGCTGTCCCCGGGGCAAGCTTCGTTTTGCGAAGCAAGCCCATAGGGGAATTCGTCTTGCGAGGCAAATCGCGGACGAAAAAACCTTTCGTCTAGCGAGTTTTTTGTCTTGCGAGGCGTTCGTCTTGCGGGGCACTACTGTAGTCCACTGTTGAGAGGACATGATTGTTCACCCCATTTGATAAAAGAGGGAAGTAAGACAGAGCTTCTGGTGCTACCCTGATTTGACACCAGCTAGAGCTTCATCAATATGAGTTGTTTTCTTATCCTCCTTTAGACCTTTAAGTGTAACATATCTGCCCAGGTCTCATTAACATCTGCAGTGACTGTGGAAATACCTGTGGAAAACCCACAAGTACAACAGCACTCTCCCCTAGAGTGGTTAGCAGCCTTGAGTAGAGTCGTACCTTGGTTGTCGAACTTAATCCGTTCCGGGAGTCTGTTCGACTCCCGAAACGGTTCGAAAACCTAGGCATGGCTTCCGGTTGGCTGCAGGAGCATTGGACGTTCGGCTTCCGAAAAACGTTCGCAAACCAGAACAGTTACTTCCGGGGGCCAAAACATCAGAGTACCAAGGCATTTGACAACCAAGGTACGACTGTATTGAGAAACCATGGAGTCAGAGCCTAGCCTTTGCAGCTAGTCTGTTTTTACTTCATTCATCACTGAGTGTTGTGGCTACACCCATTCGTGAGGAAGGCTTCAGGGGTAAACCCCAAGGAGAATCTGTACCCACTACCTTGTGGGACGTCTTCAGGAGAAGAAACAGCTAAGGAGTAAACCCTACACAAATCAGGATTGGAGTCCCTAAGGCTGTTGGATGGCAACTTCTGCAGCCAAACACAGTGCCCCGCTTTCCTTCAGACCCCATCAGAGGGGGAATCTTGTCGTCTGGGCAGCGCAGGACCTCCATACATACTTCCCAGGCTTGTGCCCCAGAGAGGTCACTTTGGTGCTGGTAACACAGCAAAAACAACGCAGGAGGCAGCAGTTATGAGTTACCCGTCTCTGCAGCCACAGCAGTCGCAGAGTTTGGCAGTGGTTTGACTTCACCCTTGGAGGTACACTCCATTGTCTCTCAAGGCAGATATAGGCCAACCATGCAGCCCTGAGCAGCTGATAAATTATTAGGATATCTTGGATTTGCCATGATGGCAGTTGAGGCTTCTGCCATTACTACTTTCCATTGACCTTTTTGGTGTGTTTTGTTCAGAACCACACGCTCCCCTCCCCTCCCCCTTTTATTCCTTTTAAAATAGACATTTGTTCCTGTCACCATAAACCAGGATTGTATTCCCCCACCCCCTCGGGGTGGAAAAGTTCGGATAACCAGAACATTGCTGCAGATGGTTATAGACCAGGGGTCAGCAACCTTTTTTTAGCCTTGGGCCGGTCCAGCGTTCCTCAGACCATGTGGTGGGCCGGACTATGTTTTTTTTTGGGGGGGGATGAACGAATTCCTATGCACCACAAATAACCCAGAGATGCATTGTAAATAAAAGGACACATTCTACTTATGTAAAAACACGCTGATTCCCGGACCGCCCGCAGGCTGGATTGAGAAGGCGATTGGGCCACATCCGGCCCATGGGCCTTAGGTTGCCTACCCCTGTTATAGATGATCGTCATGGGGACAGATGCATGGCTGCGCAATTGTCAGCTGCTTGAAAGCTTTATGCTTTATTGAGAAATCAGATTCCTGTAGCTGATGGGGCCCTAAGTGACATGAGATGGCTTTTGCCTTGATGGAAGAGGATTTCTCTCTCTCCGCCCCCCCCCCCCACAAGAGTAACAATCAGCTTGTGCTAAGGGCAGTGCGGGTGGGAGCTGATAACAAATCATGCTTCCCTCTGGGGCCCAGAATGCATGCCGTGAATCTGAATGGCAGCCTGGAATCGGCAAGTTCCAGAAGCTTTGCCGTGTTTGCCTTTGGTACAAAAAGAACAGCAGGGTCCCTGTGCCCATCTGAGAGTGTAACCATTCCATTAGAATCTTGAATGGTGGGGAAAGGCTATCTGAATGTCAGTTGCTGGAAATCACAGGAATGGAGAATGCTCTTAGGCTGGGTACAGACATCTGATAAAAGGGTGCTGACATGGGCTGCCATACGTCTGGATTTTTCCAATTTCCACTCGGACGCAGCTGACGAATGCAGTATTCTGGATATGTCCGGGAAATTCTGGACGTATGGCAACCCCAGCTTAACCATATCTGGTTTCTTCAACAAGAAAAGCCACATTCATCCACATGGCTCTCTCTTTCTTTCTATACATCTCCTCCATTCGTTTTCTACTTTCCTAATAAGAAAATATTTTGGATTAGGATTGGGTATGCATGGGTTACCGTAAATTGAAAGAAACATTGCAAATACAGATCCATTGGTTGTCTGTTTCACCATACCATCTATGTTCTATTCTCACTTATTTTAAGTCGGATGGGTGGGAGGAATGAATTAATTGTATTTACTATATTCTTGGGGGGGGGGCGGGATGTTAGAAACTTGAAAAGGAATAAAATTATTATAATCTCTTGTCTTTAGCCCCTAGAGTGAGACAGCTGGAAGGAAACGCCTGTGAAATTGCTTGGGAAGCTGTACCCCCCATGAAGGGAGACCCTATCAGTTACATTCTGCAGGTCTTGGTTGGAAGAGAGTCTGAGTACAAACAGGTAGGGAAAGAGGGCATTTTTACCCCAAAGTCAATATGACAAGACTGGATTTCCTTATGTTTCTTTTATAGTTCATATATTACTCTAAATTCTTTGGCTTGTGTAGGAGTATTGGGTGATCTTTGAAAAAAGTTAAGTCATGTTCAGAATAGAAAAGCAGCTGGGCTCTTGGGCTTGCTGATCAGAAGGTCGGCGGTTCAAATCCCCAAGATGGGGTGAGCTCCCGTTGCTCTGTCTCAGCTCCTGCCAACCTAGCAGTTCGAAAGCGCGCCAGTGCAAGTAGATAAATAGGTGCCGCTGCAGCGGGAAGGTAAACAGCATTTCCGCGCGCTCTGGTTTCTATCACGGTGTTCCGTTACGCCAGAAGTGGTTTAGTCATGCTGGCCACATGACCCGGAAAGCTGTCTGCGGACAAACGCGGGTGCTCTCGGCCTGAAAGCGAGATGAGCGCCACACCCCATAGTCGCCTTTGACTGGACTTAACTGTCCAGGGGTCCTTTACCTTTAAAGTTTATTCATTATACCCTGCCCGTGAACGAGGATATTAATTCCCTGTCTTATATTTGTGTAGCTACGTTTTCCTGCCTCATTGTGGAACCTTAAAGTTCTCTCTATTGAACTTCATTTTGTGAGTTTGGGCCCAGTTCTCCAATCTATTAAGGTCATCTTGAATCCTGGTTCTCTCTTCTGTGGCATTGACTACTCCTTCCACTTTGGTGTCAACTGAAAATGGAATGAGCATCCCCTCAATTCCTTCATCCAAGTCGTTTACAAAAATGCTGAACAGCAGACCCAGGACAGAACCCTCCGACACCCCACTTGTCACTTTTTTCCAGAGAGATGAGGAACTATCTTTGGGTTCCAGCCACAATTCCACCTAACAGTTACCTCATCCAGCCCACATTTTATCATCTTTCCCCCAAAATATCATGGGAGACTTCACCAAAAGCCTTACAGAAATCAAGACACATTACGTCCACAGCATTTTCCTAATCCCCCAAGCTTGTAACACTATCAAAAGAAATGAGATTCGATTAGCATTTTAGTGTACTGTATTTGAATATATGCCTACCCTTTTTTTCTCATTTCTCAAAATGAGAGTTGAAGGCGAGCCCTTCCCAATGTTAAAACATACAAGGGAAAAGTAACAAAAAAGCCAAAGGGGGAGAGCTCAAGGAACAATCTGAATGCCTGCACACTCAGGAAAATGCAAACCAGGGCTTTCTTCAGGGGAAACTTATCGGAATTCACTTCCAACACCTCTCAGGTGGGTGCCATTGCCATTCTAAGAGAAAAAGGGAAGCGTTCATAGTGAATTCCAGCACCTCCTTTTCTAGAAAAATAGCACTGGTCAAAACTATTTGAAAGACACTCTAGGGTTGGTGGAAAGAAGCGCTAGTTAATTGCATGCCCTCCTTAACTGGATTTTCACCATTCAATTGGAACCACTCAAGTTACTAGCGGAAGTGAGAGCTGGACCATAAAGAAGGCTGATCGCCAAAGAATTGATGCTTTTGAATTATGGTGCTGGAGGAGACTCTTGAGAGTCCCATGGACTGCAAGAAGATCAAACCTCTCCATTCTTAAGGAAATCAGCCCCAAGCGCTCACTGGAAGGGCAGATCCTGAAGCTGAGGCTCCAATACTTTGGCCACCTCATGAGAAGAGAAGACTCCCTGATGTTGGGAAAGATGGAGGGCACAAGGAGAAGGGGACGGCAGAGGACAAGATGGTTGGACAGTGTTCTCGAAGCTACCAACATGAGTTTGACCAAACTGCAAGAGGCAGTGGAAGACAGGAGTGCCTGGCGTGCTCTGGTCCATGGGGTCAGAAAGAGTCAAACACGACTAAACCACTAAACAACAACAAGTTACTGGCAGAAACATTATTTCCCTAGATTGTTCTAAGACAGGGGGAAAGTTGTTTTCAGAGCAGTCTAGGCGCTCCTTTACTATTCTAACCCTCCTTTACAAGTCCTAAAATGTTGTTTGTGCTTGCCTTCACCCTTTCATTGCCAGTTTCAGATAACGGGGGGGCTCAACAGATTTGAAGGAGAACATTTCCATTGATTCTTTCTAAGGTTCATTTTCACTGATGACCGCCTTCAAGCTGCCTCTCCTAATATCCCCCTGGAAATTATACAAATGTCTTCTCAGAAGTAGCACAGCATGATCACCAGCTGTGGGCCTAGCCTCCAGCAGGTTCACACCGACAATATGCAAATGGGAGAGTTGCAAATAATATATGCAGGCTAGCTGGGTCCCTCAAGCCTGGATTGCAGACATTATGTGTGCAGTCCTCTGGGCTGATGGCATTGTACATTGCTGTTCTATAAAGCAAGTTTCTAAAATATGCATCTTACGTCTTTGCTCTTACAGTAGTGCAGTTCTAAACTCTGATGATCTGTGAATTGCATAGAACAGCTGGGAATACAGCCAACCTGCTGTTAGCACCCTTTAAAATAATTTTTTTGTTGTTGTTTGTTGTTGTTGTTGTCGTCGTCATTATTGGAATACAGTCATCTTGCTGTTAGCCCTCTTTAAAAATTTATTATTATTATTAAACTATATAAGTATATTTTTAAGATTGTGTAATTCCTAAGGAGAACACCCATGTTGGAGCAATAAAGCTGAGAAATGTTTACACCACCTTCAGATACTGAAAGAGAAAAGAAAAGAAATATTGTCAGTGTTAAGTGGATCTCTTGTAGATAAGCAATGTCCCCCCTCAAAATTTTCAAACATGCTAGAATTACATTTTGCTTCTTGGATTCTCACAACCCTTTAACATAAAGTCTTATTTTCATATTTATTTTTAGCCCCTTTATCATTCTTCTTCCAACATCTCTTCATTATATGACTCAAGACAGTTTGGCAACCACCCAGCATTGAAAACGTTTCCCCCTTACTCCTGGTCTGAATTGGGGTACTCAAAGGGAATCATAACACACATACCATTTTGTGTTCCTGTCTCTTATCTGCTCTTTCAGGTGTGGCGGCCATTTTGTGTTCATACCTAAGCCCCATGGCAGCCATATTGTGACCGACGCCCACAGCGTTTTCTCAAAATTTCAAATAGGTGTACCGGCCTAAAGCGGTAGGCAGCCTCTGCTGTTGTGCAAGCCTGTACCGCATTGGAATGAGCGGCCTGTCAAAAGCAATGCAAAGCATGCCGTTCAAAGCAATTAGATCGTAGTCCTATACAAGATAAATAAAAGGGGCATTTTCCTGCCATAACTGCTTACAGAGAGATCGATACCCAGTCATTCATTTCTCTCTCGTGACACGCCCTCCCAAGGCAGTTCATAAAATAGCTAAAATCATAAAATTCATCCAAACGTAACGTGAAAATCACAATATTTGCTAAAACACAAAAGCCTCACATGGTATAACCCCATCAGAAGTTTAAAGCACTACAGATACTAAATTAGTAAGTGAAAACTGAGACATAAAAGAGAGCAGCAGTTTAAATGCAAAGCATTGAAGGAGTAGTTTTAAAAATCAGGTTAAAAATAGGTTTTTAGGAGTGTTTGAAAACCAGCCCATACCATGCCTGCCTAGGCAGGGATTCCATAGGCATTTCACAAAATGTAGGAAGGTCAGTAGAAGGAGGGGGGTGGGATATAAGGACTCAAGGGGTCCTTAGGGTATCCTGGACCCAAGTTGTTCAAGGCTTTGTATATTGCCTCAAGAACCAAAACATACTGCCTTTCACCACAGGCAAGCTCCCCAAAGTGCAATCTTAGAAACTTGTGTTATATTGAAAAATAGCAAAGCCGTTCTGGTGAAAAACAACATAAACATTCTACATTCAGGTATATAGCCGTGTTGGTTTGATGCAGTCGGAAAAAAATTAAAAAATTGTCCAGTAGCACCTTAGAGACCAATTAAGTTTGTTAATACCCAGAACAAACTTAGCTGGTCTCGTGCTACTGGACAATTTTTTTATTTTTTTTCAACACAAACATTGTTTTCCAGAAAGATTAAGGAAATTCAGCGAGGTGTCCAAGGGCACGAGAACGTGCACACACAAGGAGCATTAAAAATGCACAATCCATGGGTATGGATTCTTCAGGATTTTTCATATTCCACCCTAAGTTGGCAGCTTAAACTGTTAACAAATAAGGGCAGTCCAGCAGCACAAGGAAATATTCATAGTAATGTATGTGCTCTCATGGAAGAGGAAGCCACATGCAAAATAATAATTCCTTTTAGTGCTGGGAAATGTAATATTCCCTCAATCAATAGGTAATGTTGAGAGAAGACATTTGGGCAGCATATCGCCAAATGGATAGAAGCCACACATTTATCGTAAAAGCACTGGAAAGGCTTTCCATTTGCGTTCTCCATTTGCCGCTGCTTTTTTTGGGGGGGGGGACCTGTTTACAGCCAAGACTCTCTCTGGGTAAATTGGCGGAACGTGTCGCTGCTTACAACCCGTAGGTGGGTGACAGGGCCGTGGGCCGGATGATTTCACCTCAATGACTGTGACTTGCATCTTTGCACACTTGCCACCGTGCTCAGAGCGACGGTGCTCGAGTTTGTGTGAATGGAGAGCGGCAAAGAGGCCTTCCAGCAAAATAGACGCAAACAGTGAAAACGCTTGTTCCCAGTTAAAGTGGCCGGAACTTTTGACTGCCTCCCAGAGCAACTGTGTAACGTAAAGGCAACTGCAAGGCCGAGCTGTAAGAGAGCGGCGCGTGCGCTAAGATCGCTTTTTAATAAGTAGGAAGCATGCAGCCACATACTCTTCTTTTATTATTTATTTAAGTAGAAGCTGCGACCGAGGGGTCGTGTTTGAGGTGCATCTTCTCCCTGCTTTCACCGCCCCCCACCCTTGTTTGCAGAACACTCAGGCACATTTATCGCTCGTGTTGTTGTTTTTTTGCTGTTAGCCTTAGCAACGTGGATATAAAAACAGCAACAACACCGTAAATGTGAAGTAATACCACAATAAACAGCAAACAGTACAATTAACATCACTGAACTGTTACAGCATTCCCAAGGCCGACTGCATGAAGCTCTCGCTTCCTGTCGCTCATGCCGTAATTAATTTGTTGGTTGTTAAAAAAGAGCCACGAGGCTCCCTTGTCTGTTTTGCTACAAAATACCTCAAGGAATGTCACGAGTGGCATTATTTGTCAAAAAAAAGTTGGTCTGAATTTGGCAGAGGAACGTGCATATCTTGCTTACGGTATCAGCTTGCTCTTGCCCATTGATAAAGATATTTTTATCTTAGGATATTGATCAGAGCTGCAATTGTTAGTATCTCTCTCTTGAATAGGTGTTTGTCTGGCAATCAACTGCAACTCTGAGCGAGATAATAACACTTCCTCCTCAAGAACCATTTTGTTATATAAGTGCCCCCTTTCTAGTTTTTATGAGTGTTATTTTTTGCCTCAGTATTGAGTGTAGGCTCCACGTGTATTCTTTCGCCAGGAGTGATGGCCAGTATTGATCCCAGCTCTGATCTGCTGCTGGTAGTGGTCATCATGTGTTTTTTGCCTCTTTAACGCAAACGTCCCTCCCTCTGCTTTGTTTGGCTGCTTTGAGGAGAAGTCAGAAATGAGAGCAATTAGTTTTATACAGCGATGTTGATATGCAAAGTTTTAAAAGGCGTTAAGTTAATAAGTCGTGTAACACTTCTCTGCAGTAGAAATTAGGACTGGGGGGTGTATTAAGATGTTGGTAGTCACACCATGGACACGGGTGGCGCTGTGGGTTAAACCACAGAGCCTAGGACTTACCGATCAGAAGGTCAGCAGTTCGAATCCCTACGACGGGGTGAGCTCCTGTTGCTCGGTCCCTGCTCCTGCCAACCTAGCAATTCGAAAGCACGTCAAAGTGCAAGTAGATTAATAGGTACCGCTCTGGCGGGAAGGTAAACAGCGTTTCCATGCGCTGCTCTGGTTCGCCAGAAGCGGCTTAGTCATGCTGGCCACTTGACCCGGAAGCTGTACGCCGGCCCCCTTGGCCAGTAAAGCAAGATGAGCGCCGCAACCCCAGAGTCGTCCGTGACTGGACCTAATGGTCAGGGGTCCCTTTACCTTTACCTTTTAGTCACACCATGCAAGCACAGGGCTTGTTCAGGATGAAGAGCTGAGTATCTTGTGTGTACATAGAGAGAGAGAGTGCACATGCTTCTAGTCTTTAAGGCTGCTTTCTTTCAGACCATTGTCCATATAGCTCAGTATTGTCTGCTCTGACTGGTAGTGTCGCTCCAGAGTTTAAGCCAGAAGTCTGTCCCTGTACTAACTGGAGATGCCAGGGTTGAGTCGTGGACCCTGTGCATGAAAAGCAGATGTTCTGACACGGAGCTGTAGCTCTCCCCTATAGTTGCGCTGTTCCTGGATTCCATAGGGATTCGATTTTATATAATTTCAGGCACAATAATTGCAAACTTGTTGCATAATACAGACATAGGGTGCATTGAAGGGGGAGAGAGAGTGAGCAAAGCAAATTGTCCCTGTTTGCTTTTCCAAATGATTGCAAGCTACTTGCAAAGCAGTTGTCCTGAGATGACACAAAGCAATAGAACATGGGTGAGGGGAGGAAGGGCGATAACCTGCCTCTTTCTCACTTTGCACTTACCTGTGGCACAAAAACAAAGAAGACTAGCTTTAAAAGAAACAAGCCCCCCCCCCCGGTGGTTGTAGAGGGGTGGGGAGCTCTGTTGGCAAATTTGCGTAGAAGTGAATGGGCATTTGGCACTTTCCCATGCATGCAGATGGCACTGCAAGGTTTGTTTTGTTGCCGTAATTGCCTGATGATCATGCTTTTAGCGTGCGACAGTGAGGGGCGTGCGGCGGTGCAATTGGCAGACGCGATTTCAGACGTAAACAAACCGAACGAAGAAGACAAACTTGGTGCTGTACTTTTCCTGAACCTAGTAGCCATTCTCAGCTATGCCTTTTCCCCCATCAGCCAACATGCAAGTCGAAAACCAAGCAAGAGAGTAATGCGTTACAACAGGTGACCTTTTCTATTACCAAAGCTCCAACAAAACAGGAGTGTAGGTCATGAAGTGTGAAATGGTTTAGCATAATGAGTAATGTGGCGATTGTGCTGGTCAGCACAACAGAAATCCCACACGATTTATCCATGGTGGAGCGCAGATCAGGGCTGGCTGAACATCAAAGCATGGGCAATATGAAATGAACACCCCAAGTAGTGTTGCCCTGAGGAGCAACGACCCCCAAAGAGGGGGTCTCTTTGCACTTCCCTGATTGTTCTGAGCTGCACTGGTTTCACTGGTTTTCCAAAGCTGGACTCATGGTTTAACTTTCTCTAGACTAACCATGAGTTATAAAGGTTTGTCTGAGAGAGTCCAGAAACCACAAGCCCATGCTCGAACGATGGGCTAAGCCAAACCATGGTTTAGCACAACAGCAGAACAACTGGAGAAGAGCGGTGACTGCAATCTTCTCTCCCAGGGCTCGGAGAATCTGGCCACAGTGATCCATTCACAGATGACCTCAAAGCTGGGACTGTTGTGGAAGTTGTGGCTGGTGCAGAATGCAGTGGCACAGCTGCTGTGTGGTACAGCCTGCCAGGAACACCTTTGTTCAAAAAACATCGCTGGCTGCCTGTTTGCTACCAAGCCAGATTCAATATACTTAGAATATTGACATGCACCTAGCAGCTTGGAACCACAACATTCTGTTGCATCTCCTGAAGTAAAGAGAGTTCGGTATAAAGAGAGTTCTTTACACCAAAGCAAATCTGAATCTCTGCGGTGTTGAAATAAGGAAGCTGTAAAGAGAAGATGGTCATCCCCCACCAAAGAGACTGTAGCTTTTAAATCCAGGGCTTAAGCAACAGGTGACACGCCATAGCACTTCACCGTTAAAATTTAAAATATTGACTACTTGCTCCCTAAATTGTTGAAAAGTGGTTTGTTATTTACAAAGGTTGTTGCAAAATCCCTATTGGCTTTTTCTTCCACCTAAATCTGAGTACCCTGTGCCAGGCATTTATGCAGATTCATATTTTCTTCCACTTAGTGATTCATATTCACTGAGTCATAGCTTCCCTGTGTTTTATTAGCCTGAATTGGTGAAATCTCAGTAGCAATCTTAATAATGATATCAGTAAGTGCACCCGAGAGAAACTTTTTTACGTTGTTTTCCTACCTGTCTTGTGTACGTAGGAGGGCAACTCTACTCACTTGCAACTCTTTGGATGGAAGGAGTAATTCATCAATTGCTATCTTAAAAATGAATAATGCCTGCTATGATACATGTATTGTGTGTGTCAAGTGCACATTTACTCTCTGTTTGTAATTATGGCAATTATGTGTGGATTGCACATGCAGATTACTGATCATTTCATTGCAACATTATCTGACAAATAAACACTTCAGTGAATGGGACCAGGGATTGGGGGAATTATTTAACCTTCCTTGCTTTGAGTCCCCCATAGGTCATGCTGTCTGGTATAACTTGTGGCTGGCTCTCATTGCAGCATTGTACATGAACGGACAGAGATTTTGTTCCATCACAGGACAACAGTCACCCTTCCATCTGACAGGAAAACCCTGAGTCAGCTTTTGACAACTCACATCCCATCTATTGAATCACTGTAATAAATGCCCTGTCTTTTGTATAAGGGGTTTTCCACTGTCCCTGCAGAAAGTCAGGTCTGATTGTTGGTTGCTGCGTGTAAAATAAATGACTGAAAAGCAACTTGTATTGATAACTAGGGATTGCCCCAAATATTGCTTTTACTGCTAGAAGCCTTTTGGGACATACAGTGGTGTCAGGGCTGGTTCCAGGTCCCAGCTCACAGGACCAACGCTAGCCGGCGGTAATGTACAAAAGTCTTTATTGAAGTACAGTTTCCATTTCCAAGCCGCAGCGCCCAGCTCTACGTCTTAGAGGCTAGACCGGCGAAGCTCCAACTGAGTCTCCACCCCCTGTACACCAGCTTAAGACTCTAACCTTACTCCACCTCTTCCGTCTCTCCTTTCTCCTCTGGGTCCTTCTGCCCCCCAGGGTCTCCTCCTTTCTGGACTCTTCTGACGCTGACGCTGACCCCCCTGACTCCTCCCCCTCCTTTCGGCGGGCTTTGGGACCTGGCTCCCTATCCGGGCTGCCAACTGCGCCGCCCTCCTGTACATTTGTACTTGGCGCGCGCGCCCAGCCTTCCACCTTCCTCTTGACCGTTTCCTCGCTCTCCGATGGAGGCGTGGCCAATCCTGACTCCTCTCCTCCCGCTGGCGGTGAGCCTCCTGATCCCGATACCTGGGACTCCTCCCCCCTACTGCGCTCTGGTGGGGAAGCTGGTCCTGATTTCCAACTGCTGCTCTCTGAGTCCCCTCTGGCCCCTTCTTCCTGGGGTGTCCCCCTAGGCACCCCCCTTGCTCTGACCAGGGGAGCCCCTTTCTGTGAATCTTCCGATTCGCTGGAAAGACTCAGAGACCTCGGACCGCTGTCATCGCTAACATTTCCTTCGGATTCCTCCCCCTCGCTCTCTATTTCCTCCCTTTCCTGTGCCTCTGCTCCTGAGCCCCTGACAAGTGGACACTCAGGTTGCGAACGCAATCCGTGCGGGATGCACGTTCGCAACCTGCTGGGTTCACAACCTGCGTCTGCGCATGCACAGGTTGCGATTCTGTGCATGCACAAAGTGTGATTTAGCACTTCTGCACATGCGCAACCACTGAAACCCGGAAGTAACCCGTTCCAGTACTTGCAGGTTTCGGCGGTCCGCAAACTGAAAAAATGCAACCTGAAGTGGCTGTAACCCGAGGTATGACTGCATATATCTTGTACATGCCCAAGATGAAATGCGTACAAGCCCTGGCATGATGCTCCATGATACAACCACCCTGTGCCCAGTTTTATAAAATGCAGGGTGCGACTTTATACAGTTTGCTTGTTCGTATGCCTCACAACAGCAAAGTTGTCTGGGCAACATACCGTCATAATGAAAAAACGTTAAAATTAAATGATAAGCTACTGCCCTTTCAGTTATTTTGTGGTTTTTTAAGTATAATTCCTGTGCGCACACATGTTTTTGGCATGCACATGGGTTTCTGCCGCGGAGCCTCTGCGAGGAAGTAAAGCAGACATTGTATAAATAAATAGTAGGTGGATAAGTTGTGCAGCTTTCTATAAAGTATTATTTCCAATTTTCAGCAGAAACTGTTCATCTTTCCTTGTCTCCTGTTTCACAGCATTTACCACCCCCACCCCCAGTATTTGGGAATCGAAAGTTTCCGAGATACCTAGCTACCAGCCATTGTGTGAGCAATCTTTTTTTTTTTTTTGTCGTTTGTTCCCCAAAGGTGTACAAGGGAGACGAGACGACGTTCCAAATCTCAGGCCTTCAGACGAACACAGACTACCGATTCCGCGTGTGTGTTTGCCGCCGGTGCTTGGATACCTCACAAGAACTTAACGGACCTTTCAGCCCATCTGTTGCCTTTCTGCTCCAGCGGAGGGAGCTGATGCTCACGGGGGAAATGGGGAGGATAGATGACGCAAAGACGAAAAGTATGATGCCTTCGGATGAACAGTTTGCCGCCCTCCTAGTCCTCGGCTTTGCCAGCGTCTCCATCTTATTTGCCTTTATACTACAGTATTTGTTTATGAAGTAAAGAGTCCCATTACAAAGGTATCATATTAACTAATGCTACGCATTATCCACATTATCAGATATTCCTCTTATTTTATTTTATTTTATTTTCTCCTTCTCTCTTTTTTCCCCCCCAGTGGTGTTTTCCAATACATTTTATACATTTTTCCTGGATTAACGTGGGATGGGGTGGGCATAGGGATAAAGCCCTATTTAGGAAATACTGGGAGTTCGGGTGTTCCTTTTCGAAACTCAGAAGACTAGGAAGTGGTCAGAAATATCCAGGGCAGATACCAAAAGCAAGTAGCCTGGTTTGTTTTTTGCCTTTTTTATTTTTATTTTTTTAAAATAATCTATTCTGTATTTGTTACTTTGCTTTCAATGGATTCAGAAATGTAACCAATTTGCCTTCACTTTCTTGGGGTTGTTTTCGTTTTTCGTTTTTGTTTTTTGCTAACATCATTGCAGTCTTTTAAGTTGCAAGTTTTATTACATTAGAATAACTGCTTTCAGCTCTTCCGCATCTACAAGCCTTAATCACCAAGTATAGCATTGCGGTTAGAAAGTGGCGTTCGGCGATACACAGTGTTGGACAAAAACAGTAATTAATCAACTTTGCATACAATGATATCCACTACATTTTCCTCCTCCTTCCCTCACCCCTTCCTCTCTCCCCCCCCTTCTTTCTACATTGTTAAAAAAAAAAAAAATTTAAACTCCGCTACATTATCAACTATATATTTAGCACATTTCAATCCAAATAATTTATCCTGCAACATGAAGTTCATTTAAAAAAATAATAATAATCTCTTTATTCCAGTTGTTTGCGCACTATGAGCTGCCTGCATAACAGATCCGATAACCAGATAGCTTTATAAGTGACAAAGCATTACAGTCCCTACCATTTCTTTATTTTATTTTATAGCGGTAATTTTAAGAGGGCATTGTGCAATAGTTACTCCCATGTCCAGCTGGTCTTTTTTTTTAAAAAAGAAAAAGAAAAAATAAAGCTGCTTTTAACTTGTTTGCCTTTGTATATACTCTTAATCCAATCACTAGATATATTCACCTTGATTTATATGTTTAGAACTGGCGAGAGAGAGAGCTTGCTGCCTTTGCTATTTATATTAAGTATTATTACCTTTTTGACGTTAAGTAATTGTTCAGTCAGCCACTTAAGAGGGGAGGAAAGAGGCGCCCATCTGTGTTGGGGAAACCTGGCAATGAGGCCTCCTCGGACGCATAATTTGAATGTGAGGCATTGCAGGGCGCCACGAAAAGAGCGCCACGCCCTGCTCCTCTCCCAGGAAGCGCCTGCCGCGACGAAACGCGGGATGCGACTTTGGCGCATTGCAAGATGTCCTCTAGCCCCACTCAACTTCTGGAGGCTGCTGCTTCCTGGGCGATGTTCCGGGGCACACACATTGCACCACCCATGTTGCAGTAAGTAGGGAGAAACGAAAGAAGAGAAGGCAGGGCGGCCGCTATCTTCAGTGTGCATCCCATAATATCTCAGTCCAGCCTTAAGCTTGCGCTCTTCCCGCAGCAAATGTGACCCATTGCGAGAGCCAACGTCAAGGTTGTGGTTTTTTTCTTTTCTTTTCTTCCTTTCGGAACATTGTCTTTACATCGCTGGCCCTGATGGCCGTGTTTATCCAGTCCATCAAAATCCTTGATATATGAATCATTGGCTTATTTACACAATATCAATGTTGTCCAAGTGCCTCAGGGATATTGATAGGCAGGAGGGGCGAGTGGATTCCAAAAGGGCGCGGCAGACACAGGGCCAGGAACTTCCCCCTTGTAAACGCGGCCCCGAGTCACAACGGACTCGAGTTGCGTTTCTGCAGCGCTTGCACAGGGCAGACACCTGCCTCGCGACTCCTGGCGGGCAGGGCAGCTGTCGGAGAAGCTCCAACACTTTGTATATCCCTGCTTTTTAAAAGGAGAAAACAAACAGAAATAATCATTTTGTATATTTTTGCTGTCTTTGGTTTGGCTTGGCTCTTCTGTCTTCTATGTTAGCTACGACGCAGTGTCCCTGTAGTAGCATATATTCCCATAACCAAAGTAATGGGGGAACCAACATTATTTTTGATCTAGGTTTATTTATACTATATACTGCATACAGTACTTTAAATGCCAATTACAGTGCAATCTTATTATTTATTGTAAAAAAATAAAATAAATAAAAAGTGTACTTATGTACTAAATTTCCCCCGCCCCCTTCCTTTGTAGCATGTTATATTTTCAATTTTATTTTATTTTATTGTCAGTTTTTGTTTTATATAAGTGTAGGTTTACCGACATCAGCATTCCTAGGATTATTAACCTTCTTACACTTTTACTTGTGCATTTTTTGGGGGGGAAATAATGGGAGTGTCTTAGTATATTAATTGCCAAAAAGAACGAACCCCTCCCCTCTGATATGGGGCCTGATAAGCCAAGCATCTTGCTGTGTAATGGCTTTGAAACTGAATTATCTGTGGGGTTTTGTCTAGTATCAGAGCTTGTCGAATTATACGCTTGATCAACGACCGAAAAGTTTACATGTAGCCAAAACTAAAGTGAAACGAAAAACATGACCATCTCTTGGAAGGACATTCTAAGGTTTGACGAATTATTCTTTGTGCCTCTCTAGATGTAGCAAACTAGTACAAAGGTTCTGTATCTTGTTATTGACTATCGTTAGTTTATAAATTTGCCTAGAAAACTAATGGTATTGAGCTTAACTTGCCTCTTTCTCTTCCCCACTTCCTTTGGCCAAAGTCAATGGCTTGTCAAATGTTCCTAGTGGTGTTTATATGTGTGTGTTTTAATTTAAATTTATTTCTTGTATGAAATTTGGGTGACCACAAATATAAGTTCCGGACATGTTGTTTTGGTGAAATTTTGTCTGTTTAAGGGGAGGGGGAAGTGCCCCTTCTAGAAAAAGTTAGTTGTGCATAAATTTCATTGAACTTAAGGGGAGAAGTGAGTCCTGGGATGTTGGGCTCCCATGGCTTGTAATGTCTAAGCAATGTATCACCCTTGGTTTTCGCTGTAGCTAACTTTTATCTGGAGTGGGGCCAGATGGTTTTGAAATCTGATGATTGGGAAAGCCACAATTTTGTAGAGGTCCCTTTTCCTTCCTCCACTCTTCCTCCTCCTCCTCCACCACCCCCACCCCCCACAAAAAAAAATCTGGTTCACTACAGCAAAAATCTCCTAACACCTTTAAAACTGAGTGGGAAACAAACTACTGTAAACTTTGTAAAGGCGCTCTAGAAATTGAGATTTATACATTTTGAGTGTTTAAAAATAAAAGATATGGAATTGTAGTTTTACATAAGGTTGAATAAATGTGACGAGGAGGGAAGTCTGTAACACTTTATTATCGAGAAAGTATTTAAAATAATTTGTTACGTATTTTTATTGTAGTTTCGAAAATCAAATGTCTCTTCCTTAGCCCTCTCCCCCCTTCCACAGACACTGCCATGATCCATGAAATATCGTGGGGTGACATGTATGGTTCTCTTTGCAAACACTGCCATTTATGCCATAGGGATTGACTAGAACTAACCTCTCTGATGCAGGTGTAGAATAAAAGTGTTGCAAATCCAAATCATTCCTGATTCTGCCTCCGTAAACAGCAGGCTTGATTCTGCTGACGGCTTTGTTATATTTCCTTATACTGTACGTCTGTCCCGGCCCAAAATCAGTCTCAGCTGTGTACAGGCAAGCTCCCCATTCCCAATCCTGTAGACTTTAAAGGAAATTGTAAAAATAAAAAAAATGCAAAGTGGGGAAAGTATTTTAAGAAACTATTTAAGAGGAAAAGAAACATTTTTATATTATCTGCCTTTGTCCTTTATGAACTTGAAATGTTGTAGTTTTCTAATCCTGTTTTCGTCAGCGACAGTAAATCAGTATTCACTGTTATCATGGGAAAAGTGCCCTAAATTGAATGTTTCCGAACATTATCCTTGCACAATTCTTTAAATTGAAAAATAAATAAATGATAATAATAAAAGGGTTGGTTTTTCTTTTGGGTTTTTTGTTTTGTTTGTTTTTTTACCTCACTAATAGGACATATACATTCCAAGCTTTTCGACTCTTGAGAGAAATAATCATAAGTTTTCTTGTATTGTAAATTTAACTATTTCATACGCATTGTATTAAAACTGCCATATCGATTTTAATGTATAGATTTTTGCAAATATTACGCTATGTATGTATCTGTATCTGTAGTGTATATGTAATATATTTATGCCCAATAAATGTTTTAATTCTTTATTGATAGCAAGATTCCTTTTTCTGTGGCTGGTAGCCTTATAAATAGGTTGCAGTGGCAAAGAGTAGGGGCCAGTCTATGAGGCTATGGTCAGCAGCAGCGTTTGAGGCCAGTCCTGTTCATCTTGCTAAGTGGAGAACTTGATCCATCTCCTTCCCTTCCATTGCGTAAGTCTCAAGGTGTTAAAAACTTGTCAACGAGCTCATCTTCTACAGATTCAACAGTGTGTTGATTCCAATCTCCTCCCATGTGTAGCGAAAGACAGTAGGGGGCTGCTGTAGACCCTACGGTTGCATCCTTTATGTCAATATAGAGCAGGCAACAATGTGGAAATTGACTGAAAAGATAAGAAACGGAATGGATCGGAGTCATGCCTGGCTCCCTGGGAGGTAGCTTTCACAAGGAAACAAGGGGGAGGGTGAATGCTTATGAGCAATCAAGGCCGTCTAAACAAATGTCTGTTTTCAGGATCAAATTTAGCACTTTGAACATCACTGTCGCCTTCAAGAAGTAGGTTCTGAGAACACACTCCATTCTCAGGGCTGCGTTTGGGTGACCTGGTACCATTTAGTGTCGTATCTGGTGTAACTCTATGCAGGGGCATACCTAGAGGTTGACTAGGTTCAGTGGCGTAGCATGGGGGGCCACCAGGGCGGTTGCCCCAGGCAGGAAATGGTTAGTGGGCACAAAATTTCAACACCCGGTGCTGCCTCAACACAGCTCTTCTGTTGCTTTGCTGCAGTCTCCTGGGTGACACAGACACTGCTAGGCAGTTGAATGTACATGCATACTCCATCTGTTTCCCTCCCACCTCTCTGTGCGGCCCCAGGTCCTTGCAATCCATGCTACGCCACTGGCCTCCACCAAGGGTACAGGCCTGGGAGCGGGTCACAAAAATTGTGCCTCTCCACTCTAGCTCAGAATGGGCTAGGAGCTATCCACGTGCTCCCAGGGCTGCTGCTCCCCTGTTGAAAGGATGGAGGTGGCCCCAATGTAGCTCCTTGCCAAGACCACAAGGGAGCCCGGATATTATTCTGACTCTAGAGACCCCAGCTTGCTTTATGCCAGCTTCTTGTGCCTAGGGTTGTTCCCCCAGAGTGGTCTGATTTAGTCCAGGCTCCCGCATTGTGCTGAAGAGGCACGGGCAGCCTCAGCCTGGCTGATAGCTTTGCAGTGAGTAATGGAAGCCTCCACAGTGTGATGGGAAGTTCTTTCTGGCTCATTAAGCCCTGCAACCTTGCTGAAATTGGCAGCAAGGAGAACGATTGTAAAGGTAGGAACTTCAGCTGCAAAATGTGGAGGCAGCCAAAGTGTCGTCTCGGATGCTGTGCACTGCAATTACAAGGTTGCCTCCAGACTGTCCTTGTTTTGTGGGAGGGAATTCAGGTGCAGGCCAGAAATTTAGGTTTGCGCAATTAAAGAACTCTTGTCGCCCTGGTACAACAAATCCACTTTTTTCATTTTTTGTTTTTACTTGTAGTTAGGAGATAGATGGGGGAAAATGTGGGGTGAATGGATGGTTAACAGAAAGATGTATAAACAGACCATAAGCAAATTGGGATGAATGCTCCTTGTCATATAACTGCCCTGCAAACACACCAGAACTCAGTAAAGACCAGACATGGTCTAACCTCCCCATAAGCAAATCGGGATGAATGTGTAATAAATACCCATATTTTTCGCTCCATAAGACGCACCTAGTTTTTAGAGGAGGAAAACAAGAAAAAAAACATTCTGAACGAAACAGTGGATGTATGATTTTTGTGGTTCATGCTGTGGCCACAGACATGATATGTGATTTGACAGTGAGTTTGGGGTAGCCCAGTGCAAAAATCCTGAGAATCCTTGTGGATCGGTGCTTTGTAACCACATTTTTTCACAATTGCGGCCCCACGAAACAGTGGGTGCGTGATTTTTGGGGTGCAGGCTGTAGCCATGGACATGCTATGTGATCTGATGGTGAATTTGGGGTGACCCAATGCAAAAATCCTGAGGATCCATGGGCTTTTACCTCCCCCCTCCCAGGCAGCCTCCTTTCCCTCTAGCGTCCCTTATCTCCCTCCCCATCGCTTGCCGATCAGCTGCTCAGCGGCTTTGTTTCCACACCCCCTTCCCTCTTTCTAAAAGAAAAAAAGGCACAATCTGCTTTTCGCCCCTAAGCAATTCAACTCCAGGGACCACGCATTCGCTCCATAAGACGCACAGACATTTCCTCCCTTTGGAGGAAAAAAGTGCGTCTTATGGAGCGAAAAATACGGTCGGTCGTAGGGAAGAGCCAAAGGACTCAGGGGTTGCAGGGACGAGCCATATGAAACACAGTTCATCAAGTGAAAATGACGGTGACATTATTCATGGGATCGTTACGGATGGTGGCTAATGTTTTGCCAGGGAAGCGGAGACCACTGCGCCAGCCAGCCTTGCAAAGTGGCTCAGGGAGGGCGGCATGAGGAGGGCGCGACAGCCACGTGCCCTTCGACCCCAGCTTCGCAAATCGCTCCTGTGGTCCTACATTTTGCTACAGCGGCAGAACGCCCATTTCTTCAAGGCAAGTCAATTAATTTCCCATCCAAATCCCCCTTCAATGAATGCACTTCCCATTAACCACCCAGCCAGGTATTTGGTTAATTTGCACCACATCTCAAATAAGTTCCTCTTCTGTTAATTTACACACAAACACACCAAGCCCATTCCAAATCAATTCCCCCCCTTCAGGATTTTCTGCAGCCAGTTTACTGAAAGTGATTTGATCCCTTCATCTTCTCTGAAGGACGGGAGAAGGGGAAAGAATATGCATCGCTTGGGTGAGGGGAGGTACGAAAGTTGCATCGTTTTCAGAGGAAGGGGGCTATTCCATGAGATGGCCAAGTTGTTAGGTGCCATAAGAATACAGGGAGCTGCTATCTACTGAGTCAGCTCTGGTCTATCTAACTCAATATTGTTCACACTGAGTGGCAGAAGCTTTCCTGGGCTTTCAATAACGGACAGTCCCAATCTGACCTGAAGATGCCATGTGTCGGAACTGGGACCTTCAGCCCGCCCAACAGATGCCATATCGCTAAGCTACGGTCCTTCTCCAGAAAAACATAAAAGTTTGCACAATGGTTTTCTTTCTTTCATCTTGTTTATTGAGGTTCCTCAATACCATTTACCGGAAAGGTTAGGACAAGCAACAAAGAAGTTGAAATAGCAGAGTTAGTGGCAGGATTAAAGCAGACTCGTCATCCCCACACAAACAGTTTCAAATGTCTGAGGGGCTTTGATTTTGTTTCCCCTTTGGAGATACTTGAAAAGCAATGTTTTGAAGTAACAGGTGAAGGCAAGTTTTTAGCAAGTTAAAGGCACATATGTTCATATTAAGCTGTTTTTGACGTTTGTAAAGGTTTTTCCCCATGGCCACTGTGAGGGATTCGATGCTTTATAGATAGCAAGGCCTTAGGCATCAAAACGCATCATGCAGGCCACAAACCATCATGAGAAGAAACCAGATTCTGCCATCCATTACACTTGAACCATCTCATTTACACGGCCAGTTGGTTATGTCGAAAAGAAGTGTTGAGGTTATAGGCACTTGGGACTAAGAAAGATGCTGAGGGCAAACCTGAAATAAATGTAAAAGGTTGCTTAGATGTTATTCAAGTTGCATGATTTGAGATTCGAGAACTCTGGAGGACTGCGAGTTGACAGAACAGCTGTAATTATGAGGCACGTAGGGAGAGAGGCCTCTTAATTGGATTAAGTACCAATATCTCCATAAGATCGACAAAGATCTGCGGGTGACTTTCCTTGCTCCCTGTGCCTCTGGGTAAATCTGCGGGAAGAATGGGAATGGTCTTGTCTGCGTGAAAGGACTCTATGAATTGAACAGGTAATATAAATAAATAAAAGGAGGCGAGGTGTGAGGGATACTGTCCAGCTCAAAATAACTTGGGGCTGACCCCCCACCTCAGGGCAGCCCCTAGTCCCTGGCACTTGTTGTGCCTCAACAACACGAGGTTTGAGACCATCCACTGACATCTTTCCAGCAAGCATCCTGTGACAAACTGTCAGGTGACATACTTGTTTGTGTGAGTCAGCCCTAAGCATAGATCACCAACATTTCCGTTTAATTTTTATTTTATTTTTCCTGAGCATTTGGCTATGATTAGGATGAATATTGCAAACCTGGCACTCCTATAGTGAACAAAAAAAGGGTAGGGAGCGAAGGTTCTCACTGGCCATTTTCAAACATTCATTGCTGACATTCTGTTCACTCATATTGAAAGGCAGCAGCCCTCTAGAGTAGAGTGTGTCAGCTATTGTATAGAAAGGAGCTGCATCGTTTTGATGTGTGTGTGTGTGTGTGTGTGTGTGTGTGTGAGTGAGAGAGACAGAATTGAATGGATACACTTTTTGGATCTGTCAGTGACCTTAGGGCTGTCCTGAGACTTTAATGTTTACTTCCTCTCCTTCCCCCTACTGCTGAATCGTGGATTGTTGTTGTTTAGTCGTTTAGTCGTGTCCGACTCTTCGTGACCCCATGGACCAGAGCACGCCAGGCACTCCTGTCTTCCACTGCCTCCCGCAGTTTGGTCAGACTCATGTTTGTAGCTTCGAGGAATTGTGGATATCCTATGCTTATCAACTCTTGACAAGATCGCATTCACTCACCCACTCTCACAGGTGCCCCACTCACCTGTAAGAGTCCATATTGCATCCCCCTCAATCCACAACACTCAGCGAACGTCTAGGTCCACACATCCCTCCCCCCTTGTATACAGATGTTTCCAGAGCCTGGAAAGCTAACTTCAAAAAGAAATGAGTTCTGGTTCAGCTTCTTCAACATGTCCAAAAAGGGATTCCAGTTCAGGATCGTCCATTTACAAAAGGAACTAGCTTAGTTCACAGCTCGGTTGATGTTCACCCAAATGATCCTCAGCAAAAAAAACCAAAAAACTTTCAGCATTCAGAATGTTACACGCTACTGTGATGATGCATAAAACATACTTAAGCCGGCTGCAAAAGCATCAGAACACAAAGTAGAATGCGAATGATTTAATCAAGTCCCCACAACAATTGCGATCTTTCAACGCCCAGGGAATTTAAAGAGTAAAAAACAACAACACATGTAAGAGGATGGGCTTGAAGATGAGCTAGAAATTGTTCAAAGTTCTTAATTCATGGTTGGTTCACTCAGCAATTGTGGGAGCTTGCTTTCAGGTGCAGTTCGGAGATTCTTGAATAAATTCGGTGAATCCAAACGAACTCATCCCAAGCTCTGGAGGTGCCCCAGAGACACTGGATTCTGCGTTCATGTTCCCTGTTCTTTGGCCGGTTACATGTGTGCATCCGCTGCCGTTTGGCAGATCGGTGGAGTGACAATAAATAGGTTTCGTTTGAAAGAGATGCAGGATAAGAGAGTCCCTCTACCTTGGGCATAGCCCTGACATCTTCGTGGGATCTTTGAAATGGGAACAGGAAATGAGCTCTGTGCATCATCACTCTAGAAATTCCTTCGTTGCCCTTCCTGGGCTCTCTGTAGCACCACACCCCATCCTGGCTCTGGCCAGCTCCTGCCGCTTGCCACACCCTGAGCTGTTTACCAGTAAAACACAGCCCTGTTAGCTCATGTCCTGCATCTTGAGGATGGCAAACCACCTTTCTTCCCAGTGACAGAGAATCACTGAAAATGACAGAAAAGGTAGGGATTTTGTCTCTCTCTCTGCTGATGTTTATTATGCACAAAACTTATTTCATAATGCACTCTCCACTCCACAGAAAGCTCTGCAGATAAGGACATTGGAAGCTGCCTTCTACTGAGCCAGGTCATCGGTTCCATGTAGCTCCATATAGTCTACACTGACTGGCAGCAGCTCTCCAGGGTTCCAGACTAGAAACATTCCCAACCCTACCTGGAGATAAAGGGGGTTGAATTTGGGACCTTCTACATGCAAAGCAGATGGTCTACCAGGGAGCTCCTTTAACCTGAATATATTTCCCCTTCTATTGTGGCTTTAGGTGACGGCTAGGTCCGGTCGGCGGCGTCATGTTTGTCTGACACTGGACTCTGCCCACACTCGAGACCCTCCCTCCTTCAACCCCGACAGCCTTTTCTTCCTGTGTGTCTTGATGCCGAAGAGCCTGTAAGCCGCCTTCCGGTATTTCTTGGACATGATGTTGTACAGGATTGGGTTGATGGCGGCACTTAGGTAGAAAAGGACAAAAGACACCAAGTTGCAATATTGGCTGATGACGGCTATTTCCAAGGATCCGTCCTCAAAGGATTTGGAAAACAGGTAACGTCCGAGGTGGAAAGGCAACCAGCAAAGGATGAAAGCAAAGACCACCACCGCTGGAAAGGAGGAAGAAGAAGAAAAAGAGAGAAGACGTTAGGGAGAAATAGAGATACCATATTATTTGCCAGACATTCTCCTTTCACCCTGCTGATTTACAGAGGTGGTGTAGAAGAAGAAAAAGAGTTTGGATTTGATATCCTGCTTTATAACTACCCTAAGGAGTCTCAAAAAGGGACGCGGGTGGCGCTGTGGGTTAAACCACAGAGCCTAGGACTTGCTGATCAGAAGGTTGGCAGTTCAAATCCCTGCAACGGGGTGAGCTCCTGTTGCTCGGTCCCTGCTCCTGCCAACCTAGCAGTTCGAAAGCACGCCAAAGTGCAAGTAGATAAATAGGTACCGCTTCAGCGGGAAAGTAAACGGTGTTTCCGTGCGCTGCTCTGGTTCGCCAGAAGTGGCTTAGTCATGCTGGCCACATGACCTGGAAGCTGTACGCCAGCTCCCTCAGCCAATAAAGCGAGATGAGTGCCGCAACCCCAGAGTCGGTCACGACTGGACCTAATGGTCAGGGGTCCCTTTACCTTAAGGAGTCTCAAAGCGGCTAACAATCTCCTTTCCCTTCCTCCCTCCCTCACAACAAACACTCTGTGAGGTGAGTGAGGCTGAGAGACTTCAGAGAAGTATGACTAGCCCAAGGTCACCCAACAGCTGCATGTGGAGGAGCAGGGAAGCGAACCCAGTTCACCAGATTACGAGTCCATTGCTCCTAACCACTACACCACACTGGCTTCACTGGCATAAGATAATAGTGAAAGGCCCAGCTAGAAATCTGGTGTTGGAAATCTGCTGGGAAGCAGGAAGAGGAGGTGAAGTTTGCCTTAGAAAATCAGCAGCTGGGAGGGGCTGCTTGACCCTTCCACACTTTCCTGGGCATCCATCTTCCCTTGCTACTTTCCCCTGCAACACCACAAACACCCTTCTACAGAACTGCACCCGAGGGGCAAGACCCTGGAGTGTAAGCCAACACGAATTCTCTCTCTACCAGCAGATAAAAAATATTCAGCACTTGCTCCACATAGTGGCGGAGGAGCCTAGCTTAAAACAACAGCTACAAAAGGCCAACAAAATAAAACTCGAAAAGCAAGTAGTGACCCTAAAGATGTGGCCATACCACTATTACTACTGCTCATAATACAGGTGACGGCAGATTTGTGCGGGGGTTACATTCCTGGCCCAGTGAGCATTGGATAAGTGTGCATAAGTTTGCTCCACCCCATTTCCCACCAGAAAAGGGGCAGGGCAGGAGGAGGACGCCTTGCATAAAGTGTACCCCCCTCCAATTTTGCCTTTTTTTTGCTGTCCTAAGAAAAAGACCCCAAACTGTAAGTTATTATTAATGGATTTCATGTGCCGTTAATGGTGCCCAAAAGATTGATATTGAGGAATTGGAAAAATAAAGGTATGATATCAATGAACTGACGATATATGACATCCCTTGTAATTTATGAATGGGCTGCTTACAGGTGCAGAGTCTGTATGGATGAATACAATAACATTTGGGATGAATGGGTTTATACAAAATGTGGTAGGCTATTAACATTTACATAAGCACTAGGACAATAATACTATGCCAATTTATACAGAAATGTATGGGATTCTCATATATTGCCTCTTTTTTTTTGCTTTCCCCCCTCTTTGTTGTTTTTCTCCCTCTCACTTTTCCTTCTTTTCCCCCCTGTATCACTTTATTTCTTTTACTTTACTTGAAAGCACTTTAATAAAAATATAAATATTAAAAACCCAGAAAAACAAAATAATAACAATAAGTTATTATTAATTGTGATAAATATACTAATAGAAGTACTGTATATTTTATAATCATCACCTGGAGGGGACTGAAAATCATGAGAACTGAACAGGAGTGAAGGGGGAAAGTTTATTGCATGCACACCCTGCCCTGCTGAGAAAAATCCCTCAGTAAGCTGAAGTGAAGCTTTAGAAGGGAATCTCTCATTAGCACCCATGAAGGATTTCCTCTCAACCAGTGCTGGCATCTGCAGTGGGAGTTTCCTCACAACCACAACAGGAGAGGCGAGGGTTAACCCCCCCCCACTTTTTCTCCACACCTGCTCTACCTTGATCCCCGATCCTCCTCCCACAGCTGTTTTTTGCAATCTGCAGCTCAGTTCCTCTGCTTGCTAGATGCAAAGATGCACTTAACATCACGGGGAGTTCAGCTCTCAGGGCTCACGTGAAAGCTGTGCAACGTTTTTCAGAATGAAATCCTGTATCAAGGAGCTTTGTGCTGGAAAAACTTTGCCCCATCTCCATTTTGAAGATTTTCTTGCGCCAAAAGGCCCTTTTGTTTGAATTAACGCTATGTGTTTGACCTGCTCTTTATGATGTGGTTCCCTGTTTCTGTATTTTCCTTGCGTCTTATATTTCCTTTACACAACTTAGATAGTATCTATATGACTTAGTAAGGGACAGGGGTGGCGCTGTGGGTTAAACCACAGAGCCTAGGGCTTGTCGATCAAGGTCGGCGGTTTGAATCCCTGCGACGGGGTGAGCTCCCATTGCTTGGTCCCTGCTGCTGCCAACCTAACAGTTTGAAAGCACGTCAAGTGCAAGTAGATAAATAGGTACCACTCCGTCGGGAAGGTAAACGGTGTTTCCGTGCATTGCTCTGGTTTGCCAGAAGCGGCTTAGTCATGCTGGCCACATGGCCCGGAAGTAGTACGCCGGCTCCCTCGGCCAGTATAGCGAGATGAGCACCGCAACCCCACAGTCGTCCGCGTCAGGACCGAATGGTCAGGGGTCCCTTTACCTTTACATGACTTAGTAGTATAGAAATAAACCCTACACAGGGGTGAGGAAGCTATGGCGGTCCAGATTTCAGGACTGCAGCTACAGGCTCTCCTGGCCAGGGGTGGGTGGCTGTTCTAGTCCCACAACATCTGGGGAGCCACAGGTTCCCTGCCATAAAATAAGGTTTGGGCTGCAATCCGATGCACACTTCTCCGCAAATAAGACCCACAAAACACAGCCAGACGAACGCCTGAGTCCACATGCTGTTAATTGGAGCCAAAATTCATGGAGACTTGCATTTGCCTAGGAGCTCTGGATTAGGAAATGTTACCTAAACTGCATGCCAAATATTCTGCCATATATTCATTTCTCTCTTCAATGTTCAATTCTTTATAGCTAAGAAATGACTAGGAACAGCACTAAGATCTTGGACAGTGGGATTGTTGTCCCTAGAGAAATGGGTTCCGTCCAGATTTTCTTTTAAGCCCCAGAGTCAAAACATAACACACAAACCTCTCCTCCATCAAAGGTATTTACTGTCTTTTTGTGTATAAGACGCCCCCTGTTTTGGGGGACTCAAAATTAAGAAAATGGGGGAGATTGCCCCCATTTATAAGACTACCCCCTCCCTTTTTAACATTCTTTTTTTTAAAAAAAAAAAGCTAGTCTTATACACGGAAACGTGCGGTAATCTCCTTGCAATCCTGAAGATCCCTCTGCCCAGTTCTTATGATGATAAATCATACAGTTTTTCCACAGTGCAAACCTCTGCATGTCTACTCAAAAGTAAATCCCTTGCAGGTCAGTGGGGCTTACTCACAGTTCCAGAGAAGTGTGTCTAGGGTTACAGCCCTAATTGCCCAGATTTAATTTAACAGAACAAACATAGGCCACTCTGTAGTAATTTATGGCAAGTAGCAGACATTAATAAAAATGAAATTATAAAAGATATCTTCCTTTGCATCGCCACTGTCAGTTTAATTTCTTCTACGCAGAAATCAAATGACTCTGCCAAGTGTGCAGGCACGACTGCAGTGATTATTAGGCTTTTTTCTAGACTGCCAGCCTCTAACTCTTCCCTGGGAGTAAAGTCTCAGTGAACTCAATGGTGTTCGAAACTCCCATTGTTCTAGGCGCATTTTGCGACAGGGGATTTCACTAGTTTCTGAGCTCTGGGCACAGTGCTGCACCTAAGATTTCAGATTAAAACTGCAGAGTGGACGGAAAGGAGGACCCAATTTCCAGCTACTTTCTGAAGACTGGAGAAGAGACCCTCTGAAGAATATTAGGGGGTGGGCAGGGGAAGGACTAGACCAGGTGAAAAATGAACGTAATATTTTTGAACCTGCAGTTCATTCATTCTCAGCTTTGCATTCTTGTTATTTTTAAAAAAAGGGTGCCCAGACATTCCACTGTTGCGCCCATAATCTAGGTTTAAGGCACCATTCAGCTCCTAGCTTTCATATCTCAGTTTCTAACACTGGTTAGATCTGATTAGATATGCCTAGGATTACGCAGTTTAAAAACAACAGTTTGTGGAATGAATTCTGTAATGACAGTTGCCTGAGGTGACAGAATTCGGCAAGGGCCATGTATATTTAGCACTTTTAATAGTAACTTTACACGTTTAGGGTGTTTTTGTTTAGAACGGCAAGAAAGAAAAAAAAGGAGACAAACTTGGAGAGGGTGCATTTTATTACGAGAAGTCCCACACAAATATATCCATAACTTAAACACTTATTGATAAAGTCTGGTATAAGTAGTTTCTGTGTTGGTTACGGGTGCCTGGATCCAGAGTTCTTTGTATTACATTTATTTAAAATATTTATATGTGGCCTTTCAGAGGATCTCTGTGTGCATTCATTAGTGAATTTCTATGCATAAGTGCATCGGGCATGTGAAGCTGAGTCAGATCTCTCTGTCCTCATAACTGTTCTGTCCTCAGCTGTTGAAGTAGAAATTCACTACAAACCGAGTTAATGGTTTAACAGACTCGATTCTTGATGAAGCCTGGGAGCCCCAGCAGAGAAGAAATAAACTTCGCCAGCTAGGACCCAACTGAGAGACAGCTCTCTCTAGGACATGGCCTCCAGGGTCATGAACCTTTCTCATAAAGGGGCCACATGCCGGGCATTTAATTGATAATGCAAGCATTACAATAACCTAAGAGAGCCAAAGGACACAGGAAGAGCCTTCTGGACCAGACCAGGGTTCATATTCCCACTTGGCCATGAAATGCACTAAGTGACCTTGGACCAGTCACTGCTTCTCTACCTAACCTACCTCACAGGGTTGTTGGGGGGGGGGGACCATGAACACCACCTTGAGCTCCTTGGGGAAAATTGGGATATGAATGCAATAACTAAAAAATAAAAGGTGTAGTCAACTTAACCAGTAGAAGCTGATGATAGGTGACTGGGAGTGGCCACCAAGACTTGAAAGACCATTCTTGAAAGACCTACATTGGCTCCCAGTACATTTCCGAGCACAGTTCAAAGGGTTGGTGCTGACCTTTAAAGCCCTAAACGGCCTCGGCCCAGTATACCTGAAGGAGCGTCTCTACCCCCATTGTTCACCCTGGACACTGAGGTCCAGCTCCGAGGGCCTTCTGGCGGTTCCCTCACTGCGAGAAGTGAGATTACAGGGAACCAGGCAGAGGGCCTTCTCGGTAGTGGCGCCCGCCCTGTGGAACGCCCTCCCATCAGATGTCAAGGAAATAAACAACTGAAGGCAGCCCTTGTTTAGGGAAGTTTGTAATGTTTGATGTTTTATCGTGTTTTTAATATTCTGTTGGGAGCCGCCCAGAGTGGCTGGGGAAGTCTAGCCAGCTGGGCGGGGTATAAATGTTGTTGTTGTTGTTGTTGTCAGTCCTTGCCACAGAGGCCACCTGGGCCTCCAATGATAAAAATGGTTCTGAGAATAATCCCAAAAACTAAGGTGAATTAAAAACTACAAATAAGAACTGTCCAGTGGTTAACTTCGGAAGGAAGGAAGGAAGGAAGGAAGGAAGGAAGGAAGGAAGGAAGGAAAGATTTTCAGGAAAGGAAGTCGTATGGACCTTCTTACTTGGTCCCAAGAGGTCCCATCAGTATTGGCACTCTGCCGTCTCCTGAAGACACATTGATCCCACTGAATACCAGTTGCGGGAGAAGCATAGCATGGATGGGCCATTGCCAGTGTTGCAACGGAGGAGGTAATCTGTTGGAGCAGTATGTGCCTGCAGTGTAAGCTTGCGCCTGTCCTGGCACGTGATCCAAGAGAGGCTCAGCTCACACAGTGACAGGCTCACAGCACCCAGAGAACGCCGTGACTGATCAGGGATGCACACCCAGGTCTTCACTACTAAAGTAGACGTTGGTGCTTCAGCCCAGTGCTGGGGCATCTGCTTTGCAATGGAAGGTCCAAGGTTCAAGACTCAGCATCTCCAGGTAGAAATGGGAGGGACTTCCTGTCTAAACCCTCAGAGAGCTGGTGTCAGTCAGTGTAGACGGCCCAATGGTCTGACTTGGTATATTGTAGCTTCCTTTGTTCTTTAAGTCCAACCATCTAGCCAATACAACTGAGGTGCCCAGCATGGTATCCTCCAGATATTGTTGGACTGCAACTCCCATCTTCTCTCGCCGTTGGCCATGGCTGCTGGGGCTAATGGGAGTTGGAGTCCAGCAAATATCTGGATTCCACACTGGCGACTTCTGCTTGCTTTACATGCTGTGGGATGCCATGCGCTTTGAATTTCACCACAACGACACTGGTATTGCGCACATGTGCCACTTCTGGTCTGAAGCATTCAGTTGTGAATCTGATAGGCCTTTGATCAGAATCCAGCAGGGATCCTTTCACATACTTATTATGCCTTGGAGTAGTGAGAGAAATATACACTGCAGAGGCTCAGGGGCTATTATCATAATTAATAATAGCGTTTTCATACACTCAGGAGCTTCAGTCCTAGTTTTGCTCCTCCATTTGAGTACAAATTGACGTACAGGAGGAGCTGATCCATGCATTCTATGCCATTTGCACCGAGCCTGCAAGCACACACCTGAACATGTGTGCACATGAAGGCTCCTGCATGTGCAATCTGTAAGGCTCCATTTTCCAATGCATACAGGAGCCTATGTGTGCTCAGTTACGCATGTGCTGGTTCTGTGCAAACTCTACCCCTTGAAAGCATGGAAGAGGTGCCAAAGATATCTTCCCAATCAGCCCTTTTACAAGTGTTCATGCGACCCAGAGCAGGGCTTTTAGTGTTGCTGCCCCTGTTCTGCAGACCCTTGTTCCTTTTGCAACACGACAGATGCCTGCTATTTGCACTTTCCAGAAACCATTGAAGATGTTTTTTGTTCTGACAAGCCTGCCCAGCTGGATGAGCGAGTCTCTGCCATGGGTGTCTAATGGATTTTTCATTAAAAAAACAAAAATCTGCCGCTATTTTCTACATTGTCTTAAAGTGTTTTAGCTGCTTTAGCTGCATTCTAAACATTGCCTCGAGATGCGTGTGGAAGGCAATTAAAATATAAACACAATAATTCCAACGAAGTCATATTCAGAGTAGACGGAAGCTACATTCGCACCATCTGTTCAAAGCGCTATGATACCACTTTAAAAAGTCATGGCTATCCCACAAAGAATTCTGGGAGCTGTAGTTTGCTAAGGGTGCTGAGAATTGTTAGAAAACCCCCCTATTCCCCTTGCAGAGCTACAGTTCCCAGAGTTCCCTGGGAAGAGGGATTGATTGTTAAACCACTCTGGGAATTGTAGCTCTGGGAGGAAAACAGGGGTCTCCAACAACTCTCAGCACCCTGAACAAACTATATCCCCCCACCCAAAAAAACCCTTTGACTGTGTAAAGTGGGATCACAGTGCTTTAAATCAGTGTTTCCCAACCTTGTGCCTCCAGATGTTTTTGGCCTACAACTCCCATCATCCCTGACTAGCAAGACCAGTGGCAAGGGATGATGGGAATTGTAGGCCAAAAACAGCTGGAGGCACAAGGTTGGGAAACACTGCTTTAAATGCGCAGCATGAATGTGGCCCCAGTGAAATCAATGGACTTAAGTTACTGTGAGTGTGACTGACGCTAGATATCACCCCTTGTAGCAGGTCCAAAATTTCACATCTCGGGTCTACAGCAGCAGGGTTTCCCAAACTTGGGTCTCCAGCTAGGACTACAACTCCCATCATCCCTATCTAGCAGGACCAGGGGTGATGGGAATCGTAGTCCTAGCTGGAGACCCAAGTTTGGCAAACTCTGGTCTACAGGGACACACCATGTCAGAAATGGAACCAAGATACCCTTACCTAGCATTTTCACCGTCTGACGGTTGTACTTGTCCCGGATGGATGTCTTGGGCCCGATGTCCTTCTTCTTCCTCCTCCAGAGCTTCCTCACGATGAGGCTGTAGAGGACGGTCAGGCAGAATACGGGCAGGAAGAAGAAGACGCTCGAGGTCCACACCATGATGGTCAGCAGCCCCGACTGGATGGCGTACTCCGTGGCCCGGCACTCGTTGGTGTCCGACGGGTTGGTCCCGTTCTCATGCTCGACCCCGACCAAGACGAAGATGGGCCCGGCGCTGGCAAAGGATACGGCCCACAGCACCAGGATGACCAGCTTGACTTTGCCCTTGGTGACGACCACCTTGGCCCAGAGCGGGAAGCAGACGGCCAAATACCTCTCCACGCTCAGGGCCGTGATGTTGAGGATGGTGGAGTACGTGCAGCTCTCGCTGACAAACTGGAAGAGCTTGCACAGGAGGTCGCCGAGGTTCCAGGGCCGGTACTGCCAGAGGCGGAAGAGGTCCAGGGGCATGCAGAGAAAGATCAGGAGGTCCGAGAAAGCCATGCTCGACAGGTACAGGTTGGTGGTGGTCCGCATGTCCCGGAACCTGGAGACCACCAGCATCGTCATCACGTTGCCCAGGATCCCGACCACAAAGAGGAGCACGCAGGTGATGGTGACGCCGGTGAGGAGAGGCGCGGGGAAGAGGTGCAGAGGGTACTCGGGCAACGTGTCGTTGTCGCCGACGTAATCCATCGCAACCTGCAGGCTGCTCTCGTTGTACATCCCCAGGGGCTCTCGCCGGGGCACAGGCTGGGCTGGGGCGGTCTGAAAAGGCTACGTCAGCTGCTGCTCATGCCAAAAGCGAGACAAGGGAATCGTGGTGGCGGCAGCGACAAATGGCGTGGGAGGTGCTGTATGGAAACAAACCAATAAAATGGTTAGGAGGAGGCCTGGATCTAAGGCATGGGTAGGCAAACTAAGGCCCGGGGGCCGGATCCAGCCCAATTGCCTTCTAAATCCGGCCCGCGGACAGTCTGGGAATCAGCGTGTTTTTACATGAGTAGAATGTGTCCTTTTACTTAAAATGCATCTCTGGGTTATTTGTGGGACATAGGAATTGATTCATTATTATAGTCCATCCGTCCCCCACAAGGTCTGAGGGACAGTGGACCGGCCCCCCGCTGAAAAAGTTTGCTCACCCCTGATCTAAGGGCTTAAGTCCCAGGAGGAAAGGTGTTGGTTGGAGCTTTGTGATGGAGTTCAGCAAAGGAAGTCATCGCCAGGTGTGCTGGTTGGGCTTTTCCTTGCTTGAGATCTTTGAGCAGAGGCTGGACAGCCGTCCATCCGTGATGCTCTGAGCTCTGGTTTCCCTACACTTAACAGAGTGTTAGATTAGATGACCTACAAAGACCTCTATAACAACCCAAACCAGATGAGCAAGGCGTGTGGGAGGAGGGGTGTGGGAATCAGAAGAGAGCCTGAATCTCAGATAAAAGCTAAATTCCATACTTCAGGTGCCCTTCCATTGAGCCCACACAAGTGATAAACCAACTCATGTGGAATAGCAGTCGCCCCCGATTCCTGATGGGTAGGCAAAGTCAGAATCACATGTGCCTTAATTCACTTGATTGCTCTACACCTGGCGATGGCTATTGTGTGAAAGGGAGAATGGACTCCTTTGGAAAGCATTGGTGGTCATAATAGGGACAAGACAGGACGGGCACAACCTTTCTGCCTGAGGTGGTCCATTCACATGCAAAAGCCATCACAGGATGGATGCTGCAGTAATCAAGCGATAAGTGTACACCTTGTTTCTACGCCTTTATCTAAATACAGTGGATGCTCAGGTTGTGAACGTGATCCGTGCAGGAGGCACGTTCGCAACCCGCAGCGTTCAAAACCCACAGTGCCGCGTCTGCGCACACACGGGTTGTGATTCGGCGCCTCTTCACATGCGCAAAGTGCGATTTAATGCTTCTGCGCATGCGCGACCGCCAGAACCCGGAAGTAACCCGTTCCGGTACTTCCGGGTTTCGACGTGTCCGTAACCCAAAAAAACACAACCTGAAGCATCTGTAACCCGAGGTATGACTGTATGTAGAAACTGCACTTTCATAAAAACAACAACAACAAGGTGCGTGTGTGAACTGGGCTGCAGAATCGAAGCTCTGGGGAAACCGAAGTTCATTTTTTTCCCCAGCAGGCAATGCCATCCATCCATTTAGGGAATCTCTGTCTCTTTTAGAGTATGGGCTACGGAAGTTTTAGACTAATGGACTTTTGATAGCAGCATGTATTATTTGACTTAATTTGAAATGCGGTCAGCTAGCCCAGCTGCATTTAGAGACCCTCCGGCTCATTCTGCTGAGTGGGGTCCCTGGCAACTGCCCCAAAGTCCTGTCCTAATGGGACCATCCATTGACGCAACCCAGAGCACAGCTCTGGCATTCAAGCCTCTCTACCTGCTGCAGGAGAAGGCAAGCCACTGCCAGCAGAAGAAATCTAATTGCTGGTTTTCCATGGGCTTTCAAGAGCCAGGGTGTGTAGTGGCTAGAGCACTGGGTCAAAAGCACAGATACGAGAGAGTTCAAATCCCTGGCTGGCTTTGGTTGCATCGTTCTTCTCTCTCGCCCTATCCTACCCTTGCCGGGTTGTTGCAGAGTTTAGCCCTGGTGTCTGCCAACCTGGTTTCCTTGAAGGAAGGAAGGCGGTGTGTAAATCATGCAAGGCGCAAGTCATGCACCGAAAAGCCATGACTCTGCCACTCCTTTGCCACCTGGGCACAGTCGAGCCACATGTACAAAATCATTTGAGCAACAGGTACAGTTAGATTACATGTCCTGCAAAGAAGCATAGTCGGAAGGGATCCTTATTCTAGCCCAACGCGGGAATCAAGTGGCTTAAAAACCCCATGGCAACTTCTAAGCATGCGTTGATGTGGGGAATCACAGGACCACCTTTTTGCCACCTTTTAAGACTCCAGCCCAGCCAGATCAGCAGCGCCAGTTAAGAAGCAGTAGGCAAATCGATCCTTTCAGGATGTCTACTCCCTCTCCAAGCAACAGCCTCCCAATGGGCAATGGCTTGGGAATCCCAAAGCTGAAGGAGGTTGCCCCCCAGCGCAGCAGGTGCACCTCATTTTGAAGCAAGGTAATGCAGCCTTATCATCAGACACTGTGAGATCACTCGAAATAGCAGCGCACATTACAGGCTAAAGAATGCCCCCTCCTCACCATGAATCCTAGCGGGCAAGTTACCGAAATGACCACTAGCCTGAATATTTTTTTAAAGAAAGAAAGCTCCCTCCCCCTTTTAACCGCTCTAGTTCTCTTATTAGGAACACACAGAGTCAGCCCATTTGGTCTCCCTAGGCCAGGGCTGTCTACACTGACCGGCAGCAGTTCTCCACGCAAAACAACCCTACCTGGAGATGTCAGGACTCGAACTCGGGACCTTCTTGTGCATGCAAACCCCTGAACTACGCAGCCCCTTCCTTCTTTATCCCAGCCTCTTCTTCCGGCGTGCTCCTTGCACCTCCCTGCAGAAAAACCCTTGGGCAGGCGAGTCTCCCTCTGAGCATGTGCAGAGCGCCTCCAAGCTGGGGAAGAAGGGTCGGGCTTGCAAGACAGGCGAGGTCCAGGCAGCTCCCGGCGGCAGGATCGAGGGCGGAATCGATCCCTCCTGTTCCCAAGCCTCCGAGCGGCGATGAGCGACGGCGCCCGGCGCGCCCTCGACGCGTCTCCACTCCGAGGAGAAGCAGCGCGAAGCGAACCCCTCTCCGGCGACTCTGCCCGCCAACCCTCTCCTGCCCCGGCGAAAGGATCTCCGGATCCCCGGCCTCCGCCCCGACGGCTCTGGCGAAGGAAGCGGTGGGTGCCGCGTGCTGCGCGCCGAGACGACGAGCCGGTAGGGGAATGAGGCGCGGGAAGAAATGAATGAATGGATGAGGGAAAGGGGGCGTGGGGTATTGGCGGAGAAGCGCGTTCACACGTCACGCGGAACACGCCGCCGCCGCGCCCGTGTCGGGGCGAGAGGTGGGCGCGCGCTCTCGGCCATTCGCGCGGGGCGAGCGTTTGTTTGTGGACGCGCGTCGCCGCTGCCGTTGAACGTAACGTGTGAACGGCGATTCTGGTCCTAAAGGGGGCGTGTGTGCTCTGAATGTGCCCTGTCGTCCGTCCGTGTTCTGAGTGTCCGCCAATGTTCGTTCATTCATTCATTTATTCTGTTTCCGCTCTGTCTTTACTCCAGAGGAGCCAATGCGGGTAGCAAAAGTAGATTAGAGGGGCGGGGGGGGGGGAAGGTATTAGACAAATCCATACCAGACTGGCCACCGTGGGAAAAGGATGCAGGACTAGATGGGTCTTCTGGTCTGATCCAGCACGGCTCATCTTAGATTGTAACACAGCGACAGAGAGATAGCATTCAATGAAACGCAGTGCGCGTCAAAACTAGCCTTTAAAAAAGCACTCGCACACAACGCAACGCAGTTAAACGAGAGGGGGCGCCTTCAGCAGCCCTGAGCCCTTTCTGAAAGAGAATGGTTTGTGTGATAACGTGCATAAGGAGAAATAAATCCTCTGCGCCAAAACCGGTGAGAGTTGTTGTGTGTGCCAATGAGAAAGGAAAGTATAGGTGTTTGTATCAAGTGCTAAACTGTATTTGTGACTCGAAAAAGACAGGGCCACTAATGGAGATGTTGTCAAGAGCAGAGAAGTTGCCATTTGGCAACTGCGTGCTCTGGGGATTTCGAAACAGAAAAGAGGGGAGTGTTGGGGGGAAAGACAGAGCACCGGGAGACAGAGACATTCGCAGAAGCGGCTTGCAGCAGCGCAGGGTGAGACACAGCACTGCTATTTTACGTCATTCGTGTACCCATGTACTTGTGAATTACTAAAGCAGCAGGGAATGGGATGATTCCAGGGCTGCATCTTAATGTGTGCCCACAATTAGCACCTGCCCTCTTTTGTCACATGCCTATACCAACTTTGCCTGGCCGGCCAGCTGTGACAAAGAAGTGATGCTCTAATAACCTTGGAGCTGGATTACTGTAATCCATTACATTATGGGGCTGCCCCCTCCCGTGCCAAACTGCCTGCGCTGTTAAGATCTTCAAACGAGAGGTATTTCTCCAAGTCCCACCAGCTGCTGAAGCACATTGTGTTGGTATGAGGGAGGAGGAGCCATAGCTCTAAAATGTCCTCCCCAGGGAGGCTTGACTCCTGCTGAAGCTACATTTATTTTATTTTTTTGGCACCAGGGTAAGACAATTCTCTCTGCAGAAAGCAGAGCCATCACCTTGCCAACAAAGGTCCGTATAGTTAAAGCTATGGTTTTCCCAGTAGTGATGTATAGAAGTGAGAGCTGGACCATCAAGAAGGCTGATCGCCAAAGAATTGATGCTTTTGAATTCTGGTGCTGGAGGAGACTCTTGAGAGTCCCATGGACTGCAAGAAGATCAAACCTATCCATTCTTAAGGAAATCAGCCCTGAGTGCTCACTGGAAGGACAGATCCTGAAGCTGAGGCTCCAATACTTTGGCCACCTCATGAGAAGAGAAGACTCTCTGGAAAAGACCCTGATGTTGGGAAAGATGGAGGGCACAAGGAGAAGGGGACGACAGAGGACAAGATGGTTGGACAGTGTTCTCGAAGCTACCAGTATGAGTTTGACCAAACTGTGGGAGGCAATGGAAGACAGAAGTGCCTGGCGTGCTCTGGTCCATGGGGTCACAAAGAGTCGGACACAACTAAACAACTAAACAACAAGACAATTTTTCAGTTACCTATATCTATCTATCTATATCTATCTTATCTATCATCTATCTATCATCATCTATCTATCTATCTATCTATCTATCTATCTATCTATCTATCTATCTATCTATCATCTATCTATATCTATCTATCTATCTATCTATCTATCTATCTATCTATCTATCTATCTATCTATCTATATCTATCTATCATCTATCTATCTATCTACTGTAATCTATCATCTATCTTTTACCATCTATCACATATCTGTATCCTTGTACATCACCCTGGAAATCATCGGATCTGGGGAAGCACTGTAGCTCTGTGGTGGTGGATCTGCTTGGCATGCAGAAGGTCACAGGTTCGATTCCTGGCATCTCCAATGAAGAATCCTTGTCTGAAATCTCGGAGAGCCACTGCCAGTCAGGGTAGGCTACACTGAGCTAGATGGACCAGCGGTCTGCCTCAGCCTATGTTCTGTGTTCAAAATCAACAGAATTGTAGAAGGGGCCGCAAGAATTGTCTCGTCCAACCGCCTGCAGTGCGGGCATTTTCCAACCAGCGTGGGGCTCGAACCCATGACCCTGAGATATCTCTACTGACTGAGCTATCAAATTATTTCTCATGGGCTTATGGCAACCAAGCACACACAACAGCCTGCTATAGTGACTACAACACACTGTTCCTTGCAACCCTAAAGGTAAAGGGACCCCTGACCATTAGGTCCAGTCATGACCGACTCTGGGGTTGTGGCGCTCATCTCGCTTTATTGGCCAAGGGAGCTGGTGTACAGCTTCCGGGTCATGTGGCCAGGATGACTAAGCCGCTTCTGGCGAACCAGAGCAGCGCACGGAAATGCCGTTTACCTTCCCGCCGGAGCGGTACCTATTTATCTACTTGCACTTTGGCGTGCTTTCAAACTGCTAGGTTGGCAGGAGCAGGGACAAGCAACAGGAGCTCACCCCGCCGCGGGGATTCGAACCGCCGACCTTCTGATCAGCGAGCCCTAGGCTCTGTGGTTTAACCCACAGCGCCACCCGCATCCCTTTGCAACCCTAAAGCAGTGCTTTATTTAATTTGTCCTGAATCTTCCAACACTCGGCTTCCTTGGCTGCCCCCAAGTTCTAGTGTTATGAGGGAGGAAGAACAACTTCTTCCCTCTATCTGCTTTCTCCTTGCCATGCCTGAATTTATAAACTTCTGCCATGTCACCTTTGAAGCAACCTGAGAAAGATAATTTCACTCGATTCCCTGCACCTGATTACCTAATTCACACACCGCGTCGCTTGAGAAAGGTCACTGTGTTATGTTTCTTCCAGCAGAAACAAGCAAAGGTGTCTCGTGACACCTTAAATGAAAGACAAAGCAGTTTTCTCATGGCGCAGAGATGCGCAGTGTGTTGTCCTAATTTAGCAGTTTTACAGATGCACATGAGTGCAGAGATGAACATGTATAAACAACGGGGTCAAAAGGGTACAGAATGCTCTAGGTACACTTTGTGACATCTCTGTGCAGGGCTCAGCTAGAAATATCACAAGCTGTGATTCCCTGCATTCCCTGGCCATTTGGACCCCCTGTTCATTAATTCCTTTATTTCTCCAACAGAGCCAGCCTTACTATTAAGCAGCGTGCGGAGCAGCTGCCTCGGGCAGCAGATGAGAAGGGCTGGCCTTAGAGCAAACAGATCAACCAACATGATCTAGTGGTTAGTGCAGCCTTCTCCATCTGGTACCTTCCATGTGCTTTGAACTACAACTCCCATCTGCCTTAGCGCTAAGAAGATCAGCAGAAAAGAACTAGATAAAATAGCAGTCAATTGCAAAGGTGATTCGGACATTTAAGCTGGCACACACTACCTGAGAACCCCTCGCTAGTCTATCGTATGCAACAAATAATTTTTAGGAGATGTGATCGTGGTTTATTGAATCTGCAGTGCCTGATGTTTTTATGGTTATTGTTGCTTTTCTTTTTGTTCCCTTTGTGAATGATGCCATGGCCTTTGGCTAGTGCAATAAAGTTTATGATGATGATGATCTACCTTAGCCAGCTTTCCGCATGGTCCGGGGTGATTAGAGTTGCAGCCCAACAGGTACCAGGTGAGTGAAGGCTGTATTAGAGTGCCTAGGCATTCCTTTGTGGCGACCATGTTGTTGTTGTTTAGTCGTTTAGTTGTGACCGACTCTTCGTGACCCCATGGCACTCCAGGCACTCCTATCTTCCACTGCCTCCCGCAGTTTGGTCAAACTCATGCTGGTAGCTTCGAGAACACTATCCAACCATCTCGTCCTCTGTCGTCCCCTTCTCCTTGTGCCCTCCATCTTTCCCAACATCAGGGTCTTTTCCAGGGAGTCTTCTCTTCTCATGAGGTGGCCAAAGTATTGGAGTCTCAGCTTCACGATCTGTCCTTCCAGGGAGCACGCAGGGCTGATTTCCTTAAGAATGTCTAGGTTTGATCTTCTTGCAGTCCATGGGACTCTCAAGAGTCTCCTCCAGCACCACAATTATGTGGCGACCATAATTATGTGGTGACCATAACTGAGGTTTAAGGTGCCATTTGGTGATTAGCTTATATATCTGAGTTTCTAACACTTATTGGGTCCCCAGATGTCGTCAGACTACAACTCCCATCACCCCTGACCATTGGTCCTGTTAGCCAAAGGTGGTGGGAGTTGTAAGCCAACAACATCTGGGGACTCACTGCTGAGAAAGCTTGCACTAGAGCAACAGAGGAGAAATTTGCTCCATCCTCTATGTGATAGTCCTTCATGTATCTGAAGGCGGCTGCCATATGGCCCCTCCATTGTCTCTTCTCCAGCCTAAATATACCCAACTTCCTCCACCTTTCCTTAGAGGATTTGGTCACCAGGCCCTGCACTGTCTTTGTCAGATATAAAAGGCTTTATAACAAACAATGAAGACAGCCGTTTTCTGCATGCAGGGAGATTTAGAATCCTAGAGGAGCACGTTGTTGCTATTTTAGTGACGTTCCAACTCC